ACATTTTTTTCTCGTTATCGTATCAGAAGTAAGAAATGAAATTTTTTGAGGTTACAACGGAACGTTTAAGGTTTCGTGCCAAATTTTAAGTTTCCGGGGTAAACTTTTAATTTTTTTAAAATTACTGGTTCGAATCGATTGGGATCATTATTTCAAATAACTTATTTCTATAAAAAATTGAAAAAAATTGATATCGTTTATAAATTGGTATTGTGGAGAAAATAGGAGGAAATCCCAACTTCGCACTCGATTATGCAAATCGTTTTATCCACGGATACAATCGAGGCAGGATCGGACGCGATCGGTCGTCATCGAGACCCTTTCACGGATCGTTTGATTATATTGCGAAAAATTGTTTGTGAAAAACGTCAAGCTGTCGACGGGAAAGCGGTGGAATTCAATTGAATCAGACGCGCCGATAGGATAATGTTTAGCTTCGACGTGATTGTTTTTATTTGTGTTTGTCGTGCTGTCGACACGCTTCAATTAAATTTCACACGTTATAATAAATTTTTCCGACATAAAAAAAACGTGAAGGTTGATTCATGATTTAGAGAATTTTCTAACCGTACCATAGAAAAGTTTCGAAGGGCACGGGATGGCCTTAAAAATTCAGCGTTGAGAAATTTTTGAAAGTTTCTTTTTCGGGGGTATAGGCGAGAAAAGGGGCGGTTTGTTGAGGGACCAAGTGCTTTCCACGTAGCTTATTACGAGTTAAACGAAGGAAGGTTTGCCGGTCGAAATCCGGGACTTTCGCCCCGGCCTCGAATCAATATCAAGATTCCGGCTTGTCGTTTATTTCGGCCCGCCACCTGTACCTCGGCGACCTTGGAACCTAGGCCCCCGGACGCGGTAGCCTTGGCCCAAGCTTTTGACGCGCCGGCGCCGTCAACGTTCAAAACGTAGTAGTATAGTACTCGACAGCGAACGGACGTCGCGACGCTGTAATGTGACCGCGTTTATAGGCCACGACGCCGTAATTTTCTTACGTCACGAGAGATGCAAAATTTTTATTTCGACGTGTTCTTTTAATCGATCCCAAAACTTCCTTTAAATAAAATTCTTATATTATAAGAAATATAAGAATACGAATAGAAGTAGATATTTATATCGTGTTATGACATTTTACTTTATAAAAGCGACGAAGCGAAAACGGCGCCGGAAATTGTCCGTTTTCGTAATGGTTATAATTCCGGCGCACGTGAGGGCATGTTTTATTAACGGGGGGCGGCGTCCCTCCCCTAATAACCTTGTTTAACATTTAACAGGGCGCCGGGTACAACGGGAAATTCACTCTGCTAACAGAGAATTTTTAATGAACCCCGCCAACCACCACCACGTCAATGACTCGAAAATTAACAAAACCTAAAATTATTTAAAATGAATAAAAATATATCAAAAAAAAGGTATTTTTATATAGAACTATTTCAAGAACCTTCTTTTGGACTAGAAATCTTTTTTCTTCTATTTATATTTTTCGTATTCATGCCGTGAGTTGTATACGAGAGTCGGACCCCCGTACGGATTTGACGTGGAATTCTATTTCGCGTAAAATAACATTTTTACCCAAGAGATTTCGCCATACGGGACACACGAACCCCCGTCGAATGACGTTCAAGTTCCGTACACTCACACACAGACACGTGTGCCCCCCTCCGCACGTGCTAACCGAGTTTACCCAAGTTTTGTACGACCCAACGACAAAGAGAAACTTTTACTGTACCCACCATCAGTTTCTGTTTACATCTGAATACGTTAAATTACTTTTTCTAACTTCTTTATAAATACATTTTACAAGAATAGCGAAAAAGATTTATTTTAAACAAATCGGAGTATTCATTTCGCGTACTCATTAAATATCATTTTTCATATACCTTTCTATAAAACGATATGATTTTTACTTTCCCGTATATATAAAGTATATAAAGAGAGGTACCGCAAACGCAAGGATTCAACAGGCTTGTTGGGATGAACTGGGTCGCCACCTTACCGCAAATAACCATACGATTCTGTTTGAAACGATCAGATTAAACAGGAAGAGTGGAATAGCTAAACGGCGAAGAAATTGTCTTCTCTAGGCTTTATTTATGAAAATGAAGAAATAAGTTATATATCAAACAAAACCTTAGAATGTGCTCTTTAAGATGGTATATAATAATTTAATTACTTTTTCTTGAAAAATATACAAACTGCAAATTACAGATTCTAACCTCCCCAATTTATAACAAAAAATGATACATTTTTAAAAATTAGTCTTGACTTTATTTATGAATTTGAAGAAATGCTTAAAATTGCTTAAAATGTACTCTTTAAGATGGTATATAACAATAACCTAAGTATTTCTCATGTAGATCTTCGCCAACCTAATAATAATATTAATAACGGTAAATGACACACACACAATTTAAGAAAATCATATCTCAAGAACGAATTGAGACATAATGATAAAACAGACAATATTTGAAAGCAAATTTAATAAAGATTTAGTGTCCAATAAATAATTTCTTGCTTTTCATAAATTTCGTTGTTATGATTTTTTAAACCCAACTCTGCACATTTTGTTATTGTAAACTTCAAAAAGCAAACTTAAAAACTCGTATCTTAAGAACGAATTAAGATATAATGATAAAATATACAACAATTTAATGAAAAATTAATAAAGATTTAGTGTGCCATAAATAATTTCTTATTTTCCATAAACTTCGTTGCTATGATTTTTGAAACCCAACTCTGCACATTTTGTTATTGTAGATGAAAGATAGCAAACTAACAAATTCGTATCTCAAGAACGAATTGAGATATAATGATAAAGTAGACAACATTTTAAAGCAAATTTAATACGATTTTTTTTAAATATGTTTTTAAAATCAATTCATTTTTGTCATGTTTTTTTTTGAGATGATTATTTAAAAATCTCGCTTTATGAGATTTTACGTAGACTACAAAAAGGTCAACAATACAACTAGAAAGGATGCATATCTCCAGTCCTTTGTTAACTGAGAAATGCGTGATATTTACTTAGTTTGAATATTAAATTTGCTTTTCTAGAAGAACCTTTATATGTACCCCACTCGTATGTTATTGTCATCTTTGGTATTAGAAAAATGCAAAAACAAGTTAGTTATATATACGACGAAATGTGATATTTATATAAAAACTGTTGAGCTAAGCTCGTTCGATTAATACTTGTATCGATCCACCGCTGTGGTAATTAAAAAACAAATTACAGCAAGGCCGAGCGTCCGATGCAACGCTCTTTCCCCCTATTTGCGAATCAAATTACGACGGAATGGTCGATCGTGTAAAAATGGTGAAGGCGCCGGGATTATTTTTTCCCTCTTTTTTAAAGCAAATCCTGTAACCATTAAAACCGTGATGCGTTTCTAATCCATTTTGCTTTTAACAGTTCTATGTTACTAAAACCGGTTGCATCATTTTAATCTTCAATAATAGATCGACCATAATTGTTATCCGATTAGTAAGTTAGTGTGCGGTTAAAAGGTCAAGGTCGACTTCCGGTGTAGTAACCGGATAACCAACCTGAGGGTAACATTCGATGTAAATCAGCCGCGATCCAACGCCGGATATTTACAATTAATCAAGTCGTAGTAGTACTCGGTTTCGTTCCTGTCCGAATCGGCCGAGGGATTAACTGTTTGCGCGATTGATTTAGGTTTGGTTTGAGTCTGCTGTGTCGTGGACGGAATCCCGAAAACCGAGAAAGGCAGCGAGGCGGCGTCTCATATCGATTTCAATAAGAACCTAACCCGCTCCTACCATGTTCGTGGGCTTGAAGCTAATGGTCGGGAAGCCCCTTTGATTGCCTGTCGTCCACTACATTACCCCAATTAAGTTTTATGCGGTCCACAACCATATATATACGTGATCAGAAACTACAAGTATCTTAAACTTAAATATTTTCACAAAAAAAACTAATTTACCAATGTAAAATAAAAGCATAAAAAATTCATAAAATGCTTTTATTCTACGTATAAGTAGATGTCTTTGAAACCGAGATTACTTAAATGTGAATAAATGAGGATGGGGCTTAAATCGAGCTCAGGAAAGAAGGGGTCTTGATGATAAACGACGCCACTAAACGCAAAATTAAACGGGGAATCCCCATTTTCAGTCGGTGCTAACGTCGGCGTCGCTGCACCGCTTGAAAACGTTATTAACATCAAATAAACAACGATAAATTTAAACGTCTACTATCACTATATACAGTAAACGACGGCGTTGGTTTATTTCTTGTTTTTGTTCTCTTTGTTGGGGCGTGAAAGGAACTACACCGGAAGCAAAGCTAACACCCCGCGGCTAGTTACAGCGAATAAAGACAACAGGGAAGCGTGGATTAAAAATAAACCGGGTATTGATTCGTATAAAGCGACCCAAACATGTCTTTAAAGGTCAAACAATACGCGTCTTAAAATCGATTTGTATTAAAACGTGTATTCCATATTCTTATTATCATCAAAAAGATATGCAAATTTTCCTTCAACTTTAAAAGTTTATATCTTATAAACTAAAAGTGCTATTGCAAAACGGATTAGTTTATTGAAAAGAACACATATTTGTTACTAAATGGTGATAACTTTATAAATATTTTCCAAGAAATCGATTTTTCTCGAATTTTTTAAGTTTCAAAGAATTTCTGTGGAGACGCAAATTTTCCTTCAATTTTAAAAGTTGATATCTGAAAAACTAAACGTGATATTGCAAAGCGTGTTAGTTTATTGAAAAGAACACATATTTGTTGCTAAGTGGTGATAACTTCATAAATATTTTCCAAGAAATCGATTTTTTCCGAATTTTTTAAGATTCATGGTCATTTCAAGGGGAGAAAATTTTCGGTCGGGTTAAAATTTTTATCTCGAAACTAAAACGTTATTTTTCAAATTAAGTTTGTTCATCAAAAAGAAGATATTTTAATTGATAATTAAAAAACATCTCTAATAATTAAATTTAAAATTGTACGATTTCTTTTTAATTATTTTCAGGAACATATTTCATCCTATACGATTTCATCGAGTATTTCGAAAAAGACGGGCCAAGTTATCTTCAACGGGAGAAATATCACGAAATAATCAACACGATCTTCAGAAATATGACGGCTTTGGAACGAGACGCAATAGTATTTCAGGTATGTGTCAATCAATAGAAACGATAATATCGTCTGGAGATAAAATATTCTAGATATACCGAGCGGTTTATGTTCTTTTATTTTTTTTTATATTAGCATATTCCAATATTTTCAGATATTCTTAGTAATCTAACCAATTTTAATTTCTTTTCGTTATATTTCAGTATACTGATTGGGAACACGTAAACGATGGATATTTAAATCAAAGAATGATTGGAGATGTCGTCGGGGATTACTTCTTCATATGTCCCACGAATTTATTTGCCCAAGTCGCAGCCGAAAGAGGGATGAAGGTCTTTTACTACTACTTTACCCACGTAAGAAAATTTTATTTATTTATACATTTGTTATTTTTAAAAGTCGAAGTTAAAAACTTGGGTTATAAGTGCCATTACGAATGTATCAAAGTCGAGAGTTCAGATGATGACCTTTCAGCGCCGCGTGGGTTTTGATATGCACTTATCGATTTCATGCCGAGCTTTTACAGGACGTATTTCAAAATACACAAATAGAAATGAATCGAAACGATTTTAATCAAAACAATTCTTACTTTTTTTATGTGAAATTAAATATTTACTCTAGACGTATCGCATCGAGAAATTGATACATTACTGACGTCGTTTTTCCTCCCGTTAAACCGGACGTTTCGGTATAAAACTGTCTCGAAAACTTTAAGCTACTTAAACATTGACGGCTGATATACGGTCTGTCGATAACTTGGGCGGTACCCGTAAGTTGAAATATCGCCGATTTTATTGCACCTAAATGATTTACGGGCAACCACGAATCAATATGGATTCGTCGACTCTTCAAAACTAAACCAAGAAAATGTGTTCGTGGTTTCTAGCAATGTGGTGGTTTGTTACGGTCGATATCGTTTAACAGCTCTTTTTAGAATACGAATACGGTCGAGTTGAATGCACCAAACAATGAACTCATTTTTACTTATTTTACTTATTTTGTTTTTGTATCTCAAGAATGAATTGAGATATAATGATAAAATAGACAACATTTTAAAGCAAATTTAATAAAGATTTAGTGTGCCATAAATAATTTCTTGCTTTCCATAAACTTGATTGTTATGATTTTTTCAACCCAATTCTGCACATTTTGTTACTTGTTATTGTTACATTATTTAAAAAGTTTTTTCTTTAATTTTACAGCGCACAAGCACGTCCTTATGGGGGGAATGGATGGGAGTGATGCACGGCGACGAGATAGAGTACGTGTTCGGACATCCACTGAATATGTCCCTGCAGTACAACTCGAGGGAACGCGAGCTCAGCTTGAAGATGATGCAAGTCTTCACACGTTTCGCAACGAACGGGTGAGTTATAGCGTTGCGAATGGGGTGGGGATTAGGCGATATAACCGTTGATAATTAGGTTTTACGGGGACTCTAAATTAAAGCTTTCGGACAATTCGCGGCGAACGGCCGTTTGCATAATGGACTGCACGGGCTCGCACACGTTCATATGCAAATTTGGCGGTGCGTCGTGTCGCCGCCATCTGCCGAGTGGCGAAATATGTTGCATTGTCCGGCTGGTGATTATGCGGGTTGAACCCCCCCGGATTTCCAACACCCTCCCCCGGAATGACCTAACGACGGGACCGGACATAAATATTCACTACCTGTTGCAGTTGCTAACTGAACGCATTGTTCAACTTCCGATAACATCGACCAATATTTAATAATTAAGTGTGTTAATCTTGTATTGTTGTGTTTCAATTAAGTTTCGGCATATTGTTAAATAATGTTGCAACTCACTAAATTACATTTAAAAAAGGAACACCTCGTAGGGTAACCCAGGCTTTATTCTTTCATCAATAACAACACGAGATAATTGGGTTCTATACTGATGTTGTTGGGAAGCCACACACATGCAATATGCTTGCCGGGTTGTATATCAATTCCTTAATTGTGTTTGGTGATTCGATGACACCAATAGAATCGGAGATGATAACAAAGGTCTATTATTGATTGCGTCCATTCATGTAAATAAAATAGAGATTGAAATGTGGCATACAATTCTGCATAAAATATCGATGCAAACGAATTCAGAGCACTCGCCCGACAGTTTTTTAGATCAATCTGTATAGATATAAATAATTCCACTCTCAAAAATGAATTTGATGTCCTGCCATTCATGACTCACAGTTTCTGGCTTGCTTTTAAGATCATTTTATCTTCTCTGTTATTCGGAAGGATTATTCCTCTATTCGAACACAACCCAACCTTACTCAATTCAACCCATTTTTTTTTATAGGAGACATTAGGAAATCTACTACACAGACACCCGTGTAAGTTCTTGTGTACTGTCTTTTGAAGTTTCTCAGACTCCGCTCTTCTCTCAATGATTGACACTTTCATTCAATAAATTACGGTTTCGTATTTGTAATCGTCTTCTGGATTTCGACATTACATAAACATAGGGAGTGTTTGTTAAAACTGGAGCTTTCAATTAAATTGATACCCTCCTTTATTGTCTTGGTGGTCACTCATACTCCATGGTGATGGTGCAAATACTCCTTGATTTTTTTACTATTTCTAGTGGTAACATTCAAGTTGGTATGATTAGATCTGAAGCTACATTGGTCATAATGCAACATTCTGTTTTTCATTGGTTTCCTTCAATATCATTCTGCCAATCGCTGCAGTATCATCATATTGAATATTTTGTTTAAATAAAACATCAAAATAATGTCGAGACGTAAGTGGTAGAATTCGTGGATCGATGCACGTTGTGGGCGGACTTACATTGCAATTAAAGTTCGACGCTTGCGACATGTTGATTTATGAAATTATATATTTAACTAGTTTAGAACGGCGCGGTGACGGTGGAGACGGCGGCGATGCAACTTATAATGGGCGGATTTCGCGATCTATTTATTATTGTGGCGTTTGCGCTCACGATTGTACTAAAGCTTGAGGGCACGGATGTCGTCGACAACGACGTCGCAGTCGACGGATTCGGTGTTGCGGTCTCTCCAGCAAACTCTGCACTAACAACGAAACTTTATGCCCGTCATTGTGAATTATCACGTCGTATTAACACGTCGTACTAATTAGGGTAATGACAAAAAATTTTAAATGCGCACATTCTCTTTGCTGTTACAGAAAGAGGTGCATTAGTACAAAGGCCGGAGATGTTTACAACAACAATCTGAAAGTATTCCTCGTAAAGTGGGTATGTTTACAGATCAACTTAACGAGACCTTTTTTGATATATAAACGTTTTAATCGTGGAAGTCTATTTAATCCGTACGTACTTCATTTAGGTGGGGAAGCGTGCAAAAACTCGATTGGAAAAAGACGAAAACAATTCGCTTCGGGGGTAGAGCGTGCTGGCTAAACGAATAATCCCGGCTGTTTATTCCGCGAGTAAAGGGCTTTAGCCCGGTATTCTTGCGATATAATCCGGATTAACAAACCTAATTACGTATTCCACGTAGCGTCACGTGACGGGAGCTAATTTCACCCCTAGGCTCGGAGGCGGTAACCCATTTGGACAGTCCTATTACCCTGTTATTACTCCGTTCAGTTCCGAAAGGGGGGAAGAAGAATTTTTCGGTTTTTATTTCATAAAATCTCTACGATTGTATTTGAGGAATCAAACTGCTCGGACCCGGAACCCTAAATCTAATAAAACCTTTCCGGATAACGATGTTCGCGTTATTGTTTCAGAAAACCGGTGACAGATGACGTCAATTGGCCCCTGTACACCAAAGACCATCCGCAATATTTCATCTTGAACGCGGACAAAAGTGGGATTGGAAAGGGACCGCGGGCGACAGCCTGCGCTTTCTGGAACGACTTCTTGCCGAAACTCCGTGATGGACAAGGTACGTACAATCGAAATTAATTCGATCGAAAATGCCGCCTGCGGGTAAACCTCGATCTGTTTCGATAACCCCCGGGGACAGATCGAACACGGGCACTTGAAATCGCTTGGGAATATTCAAATAAAACGGCACGGTTGTATTTGGGAAAACTTGAGACGACTCCCACACCGAACCCATAAATATTCTTCTCTCGTTGCGTTTTATTTATACCCTTCTTTATACTTTATCCTACTTCTTCGCAAAAGAAAAAGATTCTATCGACAAACCTTCAGCACCAACTTCACAGTTCAACTATTAAAACTTTTTCTATCCTCATAAAAACAAACATTAAATTACTAATAAAAATATTTTAAAGAAATAATAATCAAAATAATGAAAAGAACATTAACGGAAAAAGCAAGGGTAAGAAAAGAAATTTTCGAGAGAGAAGTGTTGAGTCTACGGCAGCAGTTGAAAAGCGGCCTTTTGAATAGTTCACGGCGATGGCGCGATGCCGAGCACGTTTCGCAAGTCAGAAGGGAAACGGGTTCCCAAGGGAGCGATGGGGCCTTCATCGATCTACAGGAAGACATACACACGTGCCCCCCTCCCATGGATATATGTAAGTCGTTGCGTTTCATCGTTTATAAAAAGTACTCAAACGTTTTTATTTTATCAACTGAATATGAAAAGAAATCGTTTCGACATTCAATTCGTTATTCACAAACAAGATATAAATATTCCTCATCTCAAAAACTACAAAAGCGACTCAAGCTTTTGGGTTTTAAACACTACAAGATAAAGATACAGGGCGAAATACTGGGGAAGAGCTTAGAATCAAACGTCCGTGTAGGATTGTTTACAAATGCAGAAGGTGTTAAACCTATATAAATAAAAAAAAATGGACATTGCCATAAACACGTGATCGAATGCGAGTTCTCCAAGTCTTAGACTGCAAGGAAAAGAGTTTGAGTGACCAGTTACAGGATAACGGTTACAAAACCACAATAAGGAAGGAGAATGCCGAAATTATCAAGAACTGGCAATACAAAAAATAAGGTCACCAACTTTTTACTTTCAGTTGAGAATTAGATGACGATCAGAAACAAGAAACTGTGGAACAGAAAGAGATGGGGAAGATCGTGATTAACTTATACACTTGAAAAGCTGTAGAAATCACGCCATGAATAACCTAACCCCAAGTTCTCCAAGATAAAGAGATAAATAGAAGTGATGAGAACAAAGAGTTCTAGATTAATGTTTTATCAGCTCCTAAAATTCTGAACAAAAAAAATTTGGAGCAACTATTACGCAACCTGAGTAGTATGCTTATAAGGATCATGTTGAAGCAAGTCGTGGAAAGACGACTCAACTCTAAATTTGTACCATAAATAATTAAATGGCAAATAAAATATGTTAATATTCCATTTCAACCTCAACGCCACTGCAGTTTCCTTTATTATCATACTGTTTTGATGCAACCCAACAAGCAATCTATTCTCTCGTAACTCCCTAAATCGTAATTATGACGCGAATAATTGAAGTTATCGCAACGACGGTGACGGCGAAGATGATGACGTGGATGCGACACGATTGGATGTAGAAAACTAATTGCGGAAGTTCTCGCTGAGGCGAAACTCATTACCGAGCGCGAGATAACAACTTTTTAATTCGATCTAAATCCATTATCGGCCTCACAGGAAATAAATTAATCTCGATCTGGTTTCAATCTTCTACGTTACTTTACTTAAAGGTACACTTTAAGTTACAAAGACGTCTCTACCACCATGACGTTATAATACTAGGTAGGTAATTTATGATGGTTGAAACTGCAAAGTTAGAACAATCGAGTCGGCAAAGTTCTTTGACAAAGACACATAAACTCGGTGATCGTCTTTCAAGTTTGTTGAAATTACGAAAACTTGGTTGTTTAATTTTCTAGGGTTGTTATTATTTTTTTTGTTATAGGTTCTGGAGAAACGCCTTGTGAAGCAAGTGTTGTAGGGGCAGTGGCGTCATCTTCGGGAAGTGTTTCAATCACGTACGGTAAACTCTGCGTAACCCTCTTAGCCTTAATACCAGCTTTAAGCATTTCGTAAGCCGATAACAGTGGCGACGAAAAAATAACACGATTTAGCTTGTAGTACGTAGGGCTATTTATACCGGAAACCAGATTTGAGCGGTATTAAGCTGTACCGGAAAGCTCAAAGAAAATTTAATAAAAATAAAATTAAGCAAAACGCTATAGATGGACCTCAATCCCGATGATAATGTAAAAATGGATTTAAAAAATTGTTAGAATGGATTCCGGACACTGTATTAAAACGCCCTTTTGATACACTGTCGACGACAATCATCAGAATACGATCATAACGACGATATTAAAAAAAATGAGGAAACAAACAGTTCTTATGTTAGTCTGTAGGCTGTGGCAGGGAAATTAAAAAAAAATGAGAGAAAGTAAGAAGCAGAAAAGAAGGTATTTGTGTCGATGTTTACCTTTTTAATCTTTAAAGCGTACGAAATATAACACATATCAATGCGAAAACGTGATATTGAGAAACATATCATTTTTAAAACCAAAGAATGATTTTCACAACCAAAGTAAAAATTAAAAAATATATATATGTATATAAAAAATGATATTGAGTATAGCTTTTTCCTTTTTTCCGTTTTATTCGGCACTTTTTTCTTTAAAAGAACCTTTTTGGATGTTGCATTTTTATAGAATTCACTTTAAAAATTAAAAAAAAGAGATCTCTTTAATGATAAATAAAGAAATACTAAAATGTGTTCTTTTAAAAAATCGAAGTGCCAAATGAAAACAACAACTAATTGAGGAAAAATATTTTTTTGAAATCGTACAATTATTATTACCTTATTATACGAGAGTTGTAACAGTGCAAAAAAGTAAACAACCGTGTATACATATCAAATTAGCGTATAGTAAAAGAAGCATCACCTTGTATAACCTTTATGATATTAATATTAACAATTAATGGGCGCTGCGTGTCTGATGTGCTGCGTGAAAAAGAACAAGAATAAAAATAAAACTAGTTCTTGGTAGGTGTAGAACTTAACGTGTATATCTGTCCAACACCGTTCGCTTGTCAATTGTAAAGGTACAATAAATTCTAAAAAAAAAAATAATAAAACTAAAAAAAAAAGCTTCTCGCCTGATGAATACTTTCGCTGACAACGCAGGCGCTTCTGTTGTATTATTTCTTTTTTCGGTGGCGTAACGCGAGGAGCCATACACACAAAAAATACGAGACTTACACAAAAAAGAAAATAAAAAAATAAATTTCAAAAAATAAAGAAAAAATTTTAAAAAAAATTAAAATTAAAATAAACAAATCAGTGGTAGAGCTTTACCACCCCCCCATCTATATTGCCTAAAATTAGTTTAGTGCCTATACAATATACACTACTTTATACCTTTATATAGAGACTTGTACATGTTTAAAATTGAATAAGGGAATGATGATGATGATACTTCTGTGCAATTCCGTTTAAAAAGTGAAAACGATCTGCGTAAAAATCGTAGCTTTCCGTTTCTTCAAAATTGGACGTTAACGATAAAATGATGTCTGAGCAAGTAGTTTATAAGGCCTGATTAAAAAGAACGCGAAAAGAAAAAAAAGGATTAAGTGCAGGGTGATTTATGAGAATAAAACGTTTTTAAGTTGATTGGGGGGAACTTGTACTAAACTATTACTAAATTATTAATTTACTCTACTTCTTCTGTTATTATTAAAGAACCTTAAATGTCGACAATAGTGTTTAACCTTGAAGTATTATTGATTCAATCAAATTTACTAAGTCATTAAACAAAATTTTCCGTAAAGTTTGTACGTTATAGGAAGCGAAATATATCATTAGGCTGCCTGTATAGTGATGAAGTGATATCTGTTTCTTAATAAGGATCAATTCAGAAATTTTTTTAGTTATAAAGCTGTTCTTTTTTTAACATTAATGGACAGAAAATTAAAAATCCTTTAAAGTGAACCTAAACTCGACTTATTAATCTCCAACCGTTATCGAGATATCTTATTTTTAACAAAAAAATGGCGTTTATTTGACATTTGACAGTTTATAACCTAATTTTTTTATTTCTTAACGCAAATATATCATGTTTGGAGTCAAATTAAAGCATTTTTGATTCTTATTAAGGTCATTTCAATATTTACCAAAAAATCGTTCTATGTATTTCATTTTGACATTTGACAGTTTCTAACTTTTTTATTTTTTAACCCAAATATATCATGTTTGGTATCAAATTAAAGCATTTTTGATTCTTATTAAGATACCTTAACGCAAATTTACTGACTGTGTAAAGTAGTCTGCTGTTTTAAGTCATTAGATGGCCGATTCTTGGAGGTCACGTACGACTGAGGCGCTACTGTTGATATTCTCCTAATTCCAATTAAATTTTTGATCAATTTAAAACCTTTTAACTCTCAGAATTCACCCGGTATAATAATAATAGTAAAGTAGGTACGAAGAAATATCGTTTTTGAGGGAAAAGGTAAATACAATAAATTTTTTTGACTTAACATTAGATCAAATGCATATCTCTTCGAGCTTATAACGTGTACATAAAAAAGGGAAATGTTATTACAATCAATATATTCAAAAAAAAAATGAAACATATACTATTATATATATACACACATATCTGCACATATAAATATATACACGTGAGATGATGAATAAAAACTTGAGCTGTCCTGTCCAATAACTATAAATAAATAATGAGAAAAAAGAGATAACGTTAAAATAATGTGTAAACGAAATTATTACGATCATTATAAATTATTATTATTACTATTATGAATTGACGTGTTTGATATATATTATTATTATAAAAAATATTCTTAAAATGTATTTTCTAAAAATATACATTAAAAGAAGACATATCATACGAGAAAACAGTTGTATTAGATTCTATAAGAAACATTTATTTATTATTTAAAGAGAGATATATTAAATATTACAAACATGAAGTTGGGTGTATTTTATTCAAATAGTTACCAAAAAAATATTTAAATCAATAACATTAAAAAACGACACCCAAATTTATGTAAAAAAATATGTAGGAACTATTTTATCTTTTTTTTTATATAAAAAATATTCTGTTATTCCATTCTGAACGCACTGTGACCTAAGTGTTGCCGCTTAAATATGTTTGCATTTCGATGTGATATATATTAGGTACGTAGACGTGCAGGTGTGCACTTAGACCGTAAGCCTTAGATATTGTATAGTTAGGTACGACAAAAAAGTGTATAATTATTATTAAATAATAATGATAATATGATAAATATATAATGATGATGAAAAAAAAACTATATATGTAAAACATAACTGTAAAATGGCTGTTGACACCGGGATAAAAAAAATTTGAATCGGGGGGAGAACGCGCGCTCCCGGTTCGAAAACTTTTCTTTTTTTTGGGCTTATCGTTTCGATTACCCACTCTATGAAGTCAATACTAATTAGTATTACGGGACGATACTATAGCGGTTATAAATAAATTTACTAGCTGCGAAAAGCATATATGTAGCTTAAATAAATGAAGATGTAACGTTATACGTAGGCCTATCTTATACACACACACCGAAAAAAAAATACCGAGAAAAAATTATATTTAAAAAAAAAACGAAGATTAAAAAAAATGCGAGTAAAAAATTAATATAAAAAATATTCTTTTTTATTATAAATAAAATTTCCATTGAAAACTTTTCCCGTTTTGCTTTAGTTATGTATTAAAAACTCTCTGTTATTACATAAATACTTGTTATTGTTTTTTTTTGTTCTATTCTATATCTGAAATAAAGTTGTATATTCCTGTATATAAAGACTTTTCTTTTAAAATAATGGTAAATTTAATAATTAAGCCTCAATTACCCATTTCATGGTATTGAAATGCACTCTCTACCAATGAGTATTTAGACACTCGTGCAAATGTCACCATCTGCGGTCCAGATTTCCGTCGTAATTCTGAGTCGGCAGACCCACAAAACTGGAAGAGAGAGTCCGGTGAGTGTTGCCTAACCCAACAGATGAACCACATATACATATATGTAGTTTCATTAGACATTCGGGAGTACTATTTGAATACCACTAATATATCTTTGATTACTAAGCTGAACTGACCATTGTGCCAACAGTAAAGTTGTTTTTCTTTGTATGGATTGTGAGCCTTGAGATTATAATTACAGATAACAATGTGCTTTCTACGTTATGGAATAGAGCTGTCATGTTGCAAAGTTCAAGCCTAGATCTAAACACTATTGAGAAGCTATAGGTCCAAACACTACTTATTTTCCAAATAAGGTTGGAAAATTGTTCCAACCTTATTTATAGGAATAAAGCGATAACTTTTATACCAAATTAATCCTAAAAGTATATAATTTAAGAATATTGAAAAATATCAGTATGTTGATATGATGGTTTTATGATGGTACTTATAATCTTTAATGCAGTCAAAATTCTTCAAAACAATTTTGTTACATTTTGCTACAATAATAGAGGTTATATTTTTAGTTAACAGGGGTTTTCGAGCTGTGTGTAAATTCGTGACATGAAAGATAAATACTATTTTAACTTTTCCAACTTCAATCGATACATAATTTCGCTCACTCTCCGCCTATCTAAAAATACAAACATGCAGTGGATACGAATGTACATCCGGCATGATTTACAACGATACAATTTCACATCGTCGTTCATTGATGATGCAGAAACGTTACCGACCCCGAAATTTATAGCCATTACACACGCCCACAACACTTATTTCTCTTTTTTTCCCGAACACCAAAAAGCGTATTCACTCAAACGGTCGATTAATTAATTTTAAAAAGTTCAAGGTGTTTTCTTTTTTCTTGTAGTTCGTTGTGAGGACACGTTTTGAAATACTATACGTTTTCGTATCAATCAATACTTAGCCGCGTTCGATTTCTCGACGAAAGTTTTTAGAAAAGTACCGTTATCTTTCAGGGAGAGGAAGTTCGAAAATACTCCTTGGGGATCGTCCCGCGGAACTTCTGTTTAATTCCTAAACCATGCAGTAATTAAATCACATATGATGTCTGATGAAATAAAATTCTTCTAACATTGAGAAGTTAATACAAAAAAAAATAAAATGTTAAAAACCTTATTAGTTAAGGTCAATAAGGAGTGTTTTAACGTTGTAATTACATCGAAAAATAATAAATTAAATGGAGATGCGCAAAATGTAAATGATGATAATAAAATGGTCGATGTAAACCTTGATATTTTAACGATTTCTTTCTCTCTCTCTATTTATTAGTAGTGGAGGAAGTTTTCTAAACTCTTGGTAGGTGGTTGACGAAGTTTAACTTGAAACTACGTCGAAGATCGGGTTAAATAATCCAACCTTCCTTTGTAATTTGAAGTATTAGCTTCAAATTAGCCCTTTAATTTCAAGTTGAGTAGAAACCAAACTAACCAAACTAGGTTATAAAAGTAAATACAAAATTTAAAGAATTTAATAATTAATAATTAAGGAATTGATTAATCTAAAACTGGATTTTGGAATATAAAGTCGATATAGCGTGGACACCTGAGGGTCCCCTTAATGAGGACCTGCTCTATTTTACTTCCAAATGCGCGCCCGGTAAGCCACCGTAATTCAATCGTCGCTGTAAATGGAGATCGATATTTCACTAAATCCGTTTCTATTAACAATTCAAATGTCTCTGACAGACTTTCTGTTTCTCTAAAGTCTTCCTTTCAACATTTTCCTTGGAAATTATAGCTATAAATAAAATCAATACGCACTATAATGAATTGGTCGTGGTTAATTATAAACAATGATCGATTTTATAATTTTGTTAGTGTAGTTCATAATGGGTAAAATAATTGTTTATGTTGATTAAAGGAAACCCACAAAATAATTATTTAACCCCGTTAGTAACCTCAAACTTCCATAATATGGATTTGTTCGGGTACCATAAAGGGTCAATTCCCCCATTTGCAGGAAATATAACCTACTCCTAACTCAAAATTAATCACGTTTCGCAAACAGTAATTTCAGCATCAACGTATACATGTAATTATTATACGGTTAAAGGTTTCATTACGTCATCTGACTGGTGGTCGTGTTTAAACGATTAGTATTATGCATATAAAAGTTGTAATCTGGTTTCGTTGAAACGCGTCACGCGATTCTTTCCGAATATGTTAACTTTATTTATTTATTATTTTTTTTTGAGGCACAAAAAAATTAAATAAAAAAATAACTTTATAACTTTATACTGCACAAGTTATACACACACACACGCTACACGTTAACAAAAAGCGCTTTTGCACCGGAAGAGCGGGTAGTGGGAAAAATGAAATCGTGACTGGCATCGAAACGACGCAAGTAACACGAAGGTGTGAAATTATGAACAGAACGAAACGTGAAAGCTCGACTTAACTCAAAGCTCGAAGACGCGATCCCGATTGCAAAAAGAAACAAAACGTGTAAATACAACTTTTTTGGTTTCGTTCAATTTTAAAACTTTTGTAATTTTATTTCATAAAATAAGAATGAAAAATTGTTTTAAAATGTTACAAAAAAAGAAATACACACACCTCGTCACAAGTGGCAATTTGTTTCCGGGTTTCTGCACAAGTCTCTAACGAGTTGCTTTGGTCCTTTTGAAAAACACCATCCCTTTTGTAGACGAGTATCGCAAATATTTACAGGTTTCGTTTGTGTCTGGTAAAGAGACAGTTTAACATCTTGTTTCGGATCTCGTTTCAGGTTAAATTCTTTGTAAAGACCTGTTAGACGTTTGAACGGAAATACGGTTATGTAAAGCTTTAAAACTTGTTTAAGATACCTCTCGACTACGTACCCGTTTTTAATTTTTTTCCAGAATTCTTTCCTTTTTTAGGATTACAAGAAATAATTCTTGCATTTTTATTTAAATTGTAGAATCTCTATCCACTTATACAAAGTCAAAAAAAAATTGCTCCATAAATTGCAAGTACCCTAAAATATTAAAATTTCAAAAAATTGTCCCAACCTTAATAAGAGGAATAAAGAGATAACTCTTATATCAAATTAATTATAAAAGTGCATAATTTAAGAATATTGAAAAATATCTCTATGTTAATATGATGATTTTTGAGAAAATATTGAAAATAGCGAAGATAACTTTTTGGGTAAAATGAAAGTGTCGTAAAATATTAAAACTTCAAAAAATTGTTCCAACCTTATTTATAGGAATAAAGCGATGACTCTTATATCAAATTAATCCTAAAAGTACATAATTTAACAATATGGAAAAATATCCTCATGTTAATATGATGGTTTTTGAGAAAATATTGAAAATCTAAAGGTTAATTTCTTCGAAATTTCGATAAAATAGTAACACTTTAAAAATTTGTCCCGTATTTAAAGGAGTTAAACGATGATGTATATACTAAATTAATCTTAAAAGTGGATAATTTAAGGATATTCACAAATATCATTTTCAATTTCTTATAAAAAAAATAAATACAATGGAATAAACGATCGAGGTTAAAAACTTGGTATTCATCTCAAATTGAATATTATTTGAAGTGTGCATTGTGAGTTAAGCAGAAAGAGAGGCTGCATCTTGAATTTTTAATAGGAAAGGTTGAGAAACCGACTCCGCTTCTAACGGTGGGTTTACAATGTCAACGATTTAGTCATTTATGGAAGGAAACCATATATACTGCATTGGACAGCAACGACACCTTAATCGATTGAGATAATATTTTCTTAGAAAATTTTTGTCAACATTTACCCACACGAACAACAAATAAAAATATTTTTTTTTAATATTTACTATTTACACAACAACGATCTAAACCGGAGATGATGTATTTAACTTTGATCAATAAAAAGTCATTATTATCTTTGATGGTAGATGTGACACACTAGAATCTGAGAATCTCCTTGGCCTTGACACCGGTCGACTTGATATATAAAGTGGGAATTAACTCCGATTTTCTATTAAGTTTATCTTCGCAGACAAAACGACGACAACGTTCTCTTATGCAAATTTACTTAATTCATATGGAATAGAAAAGAAGGTAAGTTTTAATTTATAAACATTAATTCGTAAAAATAAAAAAAAAAGTTAATCTTTTTATTTTCTCGTAAAATTTACTACCACCAATGAAATATCTTCCTCCCCATTGTAATTTAAATCACCTCATTTCATAGTCGATTTGCATGACCGGTTAATTATCGCTGTAGATGGAAACGTTGTGATAATCTGGTAGTCAAAACTACACATTAACATTTCACCAGAACAAAAAATATTGAATTTTTTAAAATCCTTTTAACCAATCAGTTTATTATTGAATTTGATCAATTCTAAGTAAGCCTTGTTCCTCTCATATCAACTACTCTTTGACGTTTGTAAATTATTTATCTCTGTCTTGGGTCTTCTGATGCTGCTTAGTTTGCCGTATTCGTCGACGTTGCGACGGCCATCGCCGGAACGAGACCGCCGCTATCGTTACTAGATTCAATTTTCGCAACGTAATATGGTTAAGAGAGAGAATCGTGTCTGGAATATTGACTTTTGTAGCAGCACGACTGCCCGAGATAGTCGTCAACGCTCCCACCCGAATGTATTTGGATGTATTCTCAAAAGATTTTGATGAAAAAATCCATCGCTATTCGAGAATAGTTTAGATTTAATTTTTACGGGATTATATAAACGTGTTCTTCTTTTGTACGGCGAATGGAAACATCGGTCGACGACATCTGGATGACGGCAGAAAAGAAATTTCGTTGGAACACGTGCGAGGTTAATTGAAAATCATTCGGTACTACTGCAGAATTTAAAGATACGTTCACCAGAAGGTCTCTGTCCCTTTTTATTTCCATTTACCTGAGCTTTTACCCCACAGTCAAATCTATCTTATTTTAGGTTTTTTTTTTCTTTTCCAGTAAAATGCGATCATTAATTCTTACATTTACAATCAACATTTTAATTTCATCTTTGGAATCATGTCAACGAGCTGTATTAAGTAAGTAATTGTACAAAAATTTCTTCGTCAAAATCTTCTTTGATATTTAGATAACACTTTACATATTAAATAGGTACCCAAAAAATCACACCCGAACTAAAACAAAGAATCTTAGATTTACATAATTCCAAAAGACAATCGATTGCTTATGGACAAGTTATTGGTCAACCACCAGCCGGAGATATGTTAGAAATTGTATAAAAAAGAATCTAAAAGTAAACAAAAAAAAACTAAAGTAATCATTCGTTTAGAAATGGGATGAGGAGTTAGCAGTTCGAGCACAAAGATGGGCATCTTCGTGTACATCCGAGGATCACGACCCACAACGAAAGACGAGTAAGTAGAAGTCGACTGTTGCCCCACTTTAATCAAAGTCTCAAAGCTCGGATGCGTCGATGTTAACTTGGGTATGAAGCGCAACAGCCGTTACTGTTTTAGAACTCCAGAACTTGTTGAATTATTGCGATTGGCCCCGACACCTATATACTAACACGTATAGTAACTATACACGTGGGGTGTAGAACCGGAATTAATATAATTTCGCGATTAGTTCGCGCGCCTGATGTTGATTAGGTTCGCTAATTCAACCGAATTGATTTGATAACGAGTTTCCCGTTTTGGTTCTCTCCTCAGTGAGGTTCCTCGTTGGACAGAATATCGCCACGTATTGGACATCTCAGAAACCGGAAACCCTACGAGATCTGCAACCAGACTTCGATAAAGTGATAAATGGATGGTTCTCTGAGGTGCGATCGTATAAATACGGACAGATTTTTAGTAATCCAAGAAATGGACATTATACCCAGGTTTTAATATATACAATAAAAATAATTTAGATAATAATAACATATTTTATAGATGATTTGGGGTAAAACTTATTTAATCGGTTGCGGATATGCTTTGTATTTTAATCCGAGTCAAGGGTATACAAAGAATTATGTTTGCAATTATGGTCCTGGGTAAGAAAAATTAAAATTAAAATGAATAAATAATTAAAAAAAAAATTTTTTAGAGGTAATATCTTGTTAAGAACCCCATATGAAGTTTCATATCCATCGTGTCATAATTATAAGCTTAATTTTTCAAAAACTTGGAAAGGATTATGTGGTAAATAATTTTAAATTAATTTAATTTTGTTTAATGAATGTATTTCTAGAGTATCCACCTAATCAAAACCCACATACTTTTAACCATATTCTTCATCGTGTATGATGTACACCCTACATCATTATTAATTATACCAAAAACATGTTATCTTGTAAGTTAAATTATATAATAAAATATTTTTATAAAATCCTTTTGATTATTACGAAGCCCTCTATCTTTGAATTAATAGAAGAATTAATTATATTTAGTAAAGAAGGAAATTTCTAGTAAAACCTTTGAAAAAGAAAATGATTAAACGAGTTAGAAACCAACACTCTCAACATCGTTTCCATTTAAAAGTCATTCTGATAGAGTTAGTTTAGCTATATAATAAAAGGTGGCGCTTTAAAACGATTCCTATAAAAACAATAAAGTTTTCTTAACACAAAATCTATTGGCTTATTTCAACAACGTAAGAAAATAGTAACAATATAAATAAAAAAAATCTTACTTTAAATTAGGCAACAAAATGTCTCACACCAAAACTAACGCATTATAAATAGGACCATATAAGATGTTTTATGACTCGACGTTTTGCCATAGGAGTTAGAGTTAATAGCGTTCGCGAGCTTTGTAAGAATAATGGCGCTTTTTATTCACTATCCTCGTCGCTCTCCAAAACTCGAGTCTTTTTCTTTTTCGGAATATCAGAGTCAGAGTCGGATGAAAAAATTCTTGGCCTCTTATGGGTTATTTCCTTATTAATTTCATCATTATTTTCAACATCGCTGTTATCACTATCGAATATTTGTCTTATTTTTTCATGAATATCTTCCTTTTTATTTACAACAATTATTTCATTATCATCATCATCATTACTTTTATTCTTTATGTTAGTTGATTCATTTATTTCCTCGTTATTTAAAAACTTTCGAATGTTTTCATTTAATTGGCTTGGAATTCGCCAAAATTGTTCCTAAAATGATTTTAATAAATACACAAAATTTAATTAATAATAAATAATACAATACTTGTTCATCAAATGGTTCTTTAACTCCAAATCCTTTTAATAACTCCAAAAATTTTAGATTTTCCATCGCGGAAATTGCGCAATCTAAAATAGGGACTATAGGGATACCTATATCGTCATCATCTAAATTATCATCTTCGACGTCTTCAGCGACATCCTCAAAACTTTCACGTAACCATTGGACAGCATCCGACATTCCTAAAATAACGAAATGTAAAAAAATGTAGTCACGAACGTTGGTGTAGTTCATTATTTCCCAACGTTACCTGAGCTTTCAACGTCCGCGACGAGTTTCAGTACGTGGTTGTACGAAACTGGAGGTGCTGAAGGTTGGTTAGAAGTTTTCGCTCTCCGTTTCGTCTTTAGGGGTTTCTTAACGGACCTTTTGACAACGGCGTCTACGCGATCTGAATCACTATCGACGTCTCTTTCTTCATCGCCATCCGAGATTTCCGTTTCGGAGAGACCTTTCCCTGGAAAATTCAAATTGGTGGTTGGGTGTCCCGCTTTTCTATTCAAACTATGCCAATTAATAGTTTCGCCGCCCGGTATAATGGACCGAGTAAACTGTGTTGAGGTTCGAGTGGAATCGCGATGCGCTACCCGTTTTGGGATTGGTTGTCAATGGGAGGCGGCTACGAAACTCGATTTTGACCAAATTGGCGACAAAGACGGTGCCCTCTATATCCTATGGTCTTGTTAACTTAATTGCAACTCTAGTTGCAACCTAATTTTACGCCATAACTTAACTTTCCCTGTCTTTATCTGAATTATATTACAGTAAAACCTCCATATAATGGACTAATGTAAGGATGAGAGTGTTCGTTATATGAAGTATTTTTAATTTGCATTTTAAAATAACCATTAGAATTAGAAATAACACTAGACCTGGAAACATTTGGATTTAGCCGTGGTAATAGTTAGTCCTGGAAAGTCAAAATTTGGTAGAACCCAACCTCAAAGGTATATAAAGGTTATAACCTCAAAAAGGTTCATTTCTTAAAACCTAACATTTACATTTAAATATACTGATGTATTAAATAGATAGTATTAATAGTGTGACTTAAATATGTATATTTTGTCCGTTATATCCGAAGTCCGTTCTAACGAGATATCGTTATATCAAGGTTTTGTTGCATAACCAAAATATTTAGTTTTAAATTTTTAACCCAACTTTGGATAAAATACAACATTTTTATTTAATCACATTAAAAGTAAAACAACAACATCCCCGGGATTTCAACGAAATAAATTCAACGAATTTTTACCTGTAAAAGCGAGCTGCAAGTTTGAAAGGTATGCTAATTCAATAATAACACCATCCTTTGTGCAACCCCAATTTTTATATTATTGTCCCCTGGGATTCAATAAAAACATTATACGCTTCGGACATGTCGGAGTTAATTATTTCCAACGACCCTAATTTTATCTTCTTTTTTGTCGATTCGCCATGTTTTTACATTTTATAAAACATTATGTAACTCTTTTTATTACTTTTCTAGCTTATTATAGTCGTCTATAATATTATTCTAGTTTTCATAGTTTTGAAACATCATCTTACATTTTAACTTAATACTCTTTTGGTATCGTTTATATGTCACCCGATCTTTCTTTTTTAGTGTATACTTTTTGTATCCCCCTACGCCCGTATTTATAACCCCGCTGGTCAGACGTGTCTCCCTTTTCGAACAAATAAACAACCCCAACAACGGGAATAGGGTTCGCACCCCTCTTGTGACACGCAGTAGATACCGGATAACATCGCTGTTTTTTTGCTTCTTCTGGTTATGTATTTTCCAGCTTCGATGTTTTTCGTTTCGTTGCGACGTGACGACCTTCGAGGGAACCTAATGACACCCCTGAGTCAAAACCAGGATCGGATTTAGTCCCATGACTCATAATCATCGTAATAATAATAATTATTATTATTATAACTATTGCGTGACATCCCGTCGTTTAAAACGGCGGCGAGGTTCGGTTCCCTTTAACCTTATCGCGTACACGAGTCGGGGTGTTGATTACCAGTCGAGACACATTATGCGAGGGTCCCCACAATGATAAGAAACGTTGAATTAAATATCTTGAAACTATTTATTAGATTTTTCGTTGTTATTCTCGCTGTAAATCTTCGAGGCCACGCGATAGGTAGCGATGTATGAAGAGGGTGAAAAAGAAACAAGTCACAAGTACTTTAATAATTCATCGATTGTATGCGAGAAGGGGAATATTATACGAGAAGGGAGAAAAAATTGTTAGGGAAAAGTAAAAAGTTTCGAACACATTTTCTAAATGAAACTTTATGGTCGATACGGCCCTGTTTGTAACGATATGCCAATCTATTAAGGTTCTTTTTTGGTCCTGCTTGGACGGTAGAGTTACATTTTTAATCAACTATCCCCTCTTTCTCTGTGAAAGTCAACAATATCATTTTTCGTCGACCCTAGTTGAAACGTCGGATGACGTTGCCGGATCGTTAGTGGAAATCCACCCTAGATAGTGTTAAATTAATACAAATGTACCACACGAAATGCTTTTACGTTGATTATTTCCTTGTTTTTTGAGCTTCCTCAACGACAAAAATCTCTCGAAAATGGTGCAAAATAAAAAGAGAGAAAAGCTCGTTTACACTATAATCGCGATCCGGATCGTCTCGGTGCACACCTTGTAAAGCTGTAGTTTTTAAAAATTCAGGTTTGGAGCTCACCGCACTCCCCTGAAACTTTAAACAGACACTGAATAAACTAGCATTATTGAGGAAATTTTAGAACGTTTTAAATAAGGATAATCAATCGATTATAATAGATACAGCATGGCATAAAAAAATCTTGTCTCCTTGGGAATAATAAAGTTAGTTTCGAAAAGAACGTTTTCTCGCTACTGAAAGGAGAAGCAAATTCGAAGCGCAATTACAGTTTTACGTAACAATTATTAACCGGGAAAAGAGACGAGCGTGGTTCTTTTTTTCTCAATTAAACTTTTATTACGGCTTCCTTGCTCACCCCTCAAGAAGACTAAAAAGTTTTTCATTACCTTTCGTTTCTTTGAACAGCACGCTTTATTCTCAGTAATTATAACCATATTATTAAATAACCATTTCGGTACGCATTCGAGTATAAAATTTACCGTTACATGTATAATCATGGCGGAGAACTTGACGTGCTCCTTCTAAGCTTTCTTAAAAGGCAATCGAGGGTAAGATTGATCGTTCGAGTAACTGCCTGGACGAACGGCGATACTGCTGCATAACCTTAAAATTTAATCTTTTCCGTGCAGTGCATTTTGAGAACGACGCTCAACATCGTCATCTCGTTGGGTAACCAGGAGATTATGCGTCTGGGATTTTCAATTTTACATCGGTGCCGGAAAACATTCGTATACTATATTAGACTGGGATGATAAATCGACCTAGTATATGAACAATGAATTCTTTAATATACGATTTTATAACCGTAAATAAATTAAGTGCGAAATTTAATACCATAGTACACAAAAACCAAAATTTACCACTTTTAAATCCCGATTTCTTCCCTTTCCGTTTTTTCCTCAATTCTTTTCTATCTTGAACCAACCCCAATTCCAAAATCTTCTCAATAACCTTAGGTTTCGATCTTTTAACATCCAATCCTTCCACAATAGAATCCACGGGGTCTAAATAATCGAAATAATTAAATTAAACAAACAAAAAAACTTTTTCATCGATTAAAATTCACCATTGGTATCCTTAAATTCTTGGAAAAGTTCTCTAAGTTGGATCTCTTCCTCTTCTGACCATTGTTTGGGAATACGCGCTTTACCCGCGCTAATTCCCGACTTGCGAGGCCCCTTATAGTCAGTCAATAGGTACATTTCCTTTAACTTCTTCAAGACGCCCCTTCTTGTTCGGGTATTATCGATCAAATTGCCCACGATCCAATCAACCGGGTCCTCATCAATTTCTTTCTCTCGATGTTCTATGAATAACCGCCGTAATTCCTCTTCTTCCAGTTCAGACCAAGCTTTGGCTGATGCTTGAGAGCTAAAAATAAGCAGATTAAGGGTTTATGTGTTTCATAGATATTTATTATTACTGTTCTTTAGTTGCTCCATAACCATTTTCTATATCATAAGCATCTTTGCTGTTTTTCCAAAATAACGCTTCAATATAAACTTTACTATTTATTTTGGCGACTTTGATAAACTCTCGAATTATATAATCGGCAAACTTGGCTAATTCTTTGTACGCTTTTACGTCTTTTAAGTTATAAATTTTTTGAAATGTTCTAAATATGGAAGCTTGGAAAACCATGCCGGGCATTTTACAATCCCAAGCGATTCGATGCATTAATTTAATAACGCAATGATTGGTTAGAGTTGAATTTTTCTCAAATTTTTTTAAAGCCAAACCACAAGCTCTTAAAATCTTCGGATGCGCCAATCTGTAAATATTGAAAAAAATGATTAATCGCTTACTTAGTTTATTCGATTTTGGCACCTCTTGGCGAAGTCCTCAAACTTAAAATCGCCTTCGGATATTTGCATACTTCGTTCGACCTCTTCTTCTTCGTCGTCTTCGTCGTTTTCATCGTCTGCATGAAAAAAGAGGGTGCATTAATCAAGGCTTTTTGAAATTGAAAAAGCAGCTTTCAGTTAAATCATTAATTTGGCCCGGAATGGATTACCTTCTGGATGAGCGGTCGTTTCAGTTTGTTCGGTTTCAGCAACTGAAACAGGAATAAAAAATTAAACTATAAAAATGTACGCCGTTAAAATTTCTTTTTATTCTTTTTTGTGACGGTGTGAAAGCCCTAGAAACCACGACAATTGAACCAATATAGTAAGGTTCTCGACCCCCTCAATTTCGATTACCTTTCAGCTACGAATCGGTTTTCTTATGCAAAACGGGACGGTGGTGCTTTTAAGAGATTACCACCGTATCGCACAAAGGCTTGGTGAACTAACCGTAGGTTAACATTTGAGTTTCGAACCAAGGGACTTTATCTCGACTATAGCGAGGTAGTCCATTCTATGTTAAAAGATATGGTTACGTTCACGTTTGGACATTGCCACCGCCGGAAGGTAAAGTTTGACGTTAAAGCTGTATTCCATTTTCTACTCGAATAAAAGGAACGAATAATAAATATACAACGTTGAAACCGATTTCTCTATTCAATTAATAGTGTAAATAACTGCTCCTCCGGATGGAATAGAAACTTTTTGGTGAAGTTGTGAATGGTACGAGGAAAAGTTCGAATTACCGTACTTTCTTATCGGTGATGACCAGCTTTCGATTTACTTCCCCATTCGAACAAACGTAAAAGTTTGTATGGACGACTCCCGAAAACTGTTTATAGACCCCTATTTGAACTCATAAATCAACTCTTAAAATTAAAAAAATACGTAAAATGTACCATTCAAAATCAAAAAAAAATATTAAATGTTGTTTAAATTTATTGCTAAAAGTTAAACCATGAGAGAAGCAAAATGCAGTATGCGGTTCAATGTCGAATATTAATATCCAGTTTCATTTTTTTTATCCTCGCCGGATTTTCACTAAAACCCCTTTTATTGGGGGGTATCAGCTTGAACCATAGCAGCGAAGCGGCCCCAAATACAAGCTACATAAAACAAAAGTGTCGCGAGTAACGTTAGCGCCGCACCGTGTGCAACATTTTAATTGGATTTCAACGCTCCATTTATTGATTATTGCTGCGTAATCACAAAACGCGGCCTCGTTTATACCCAAACAACGATTATGAATATAGATTATAGACACAAGCTTTCAGTTTTGTTATTGTTGTTTCAAACGATCGTTAATCGAACTTTTTTTCCGAATCTCTTTTTATCAACGTGTCAAGTGACATTTTCCTGTGGACAAAATGCATTTTCCGAAGGGTTCGAATCTGTGCGGAGGGTAGCAAGAGATCGTTACGGCAGCGATAATAATAACTTGTCCTCGATAATGGTCGGCGTTATTACTATAGATTAGGACGCATACGGTCCCACAGTAATTACTGCTAGGTATGGTCATTAAGCCTCCGTATGGATGACATTAGATCGTATCATCACAAACGCATTGTCATCGAAATGTAATGTTCAACCTAATTTTGCATGTACAATTCTCCACTGTGTCGGTCTAATGTATTTATTATTAAAGGATTAATCTTATTATTTATTACTAAACAAAAGAAAAAAATAATCTCCCCCAATACATGTATTTAGGAGAGAATGGTGACGGAAGTGATTGACGACGTGATGTGATATATCGCGTCCATCATTAAGAGTGTCGTCACGACGCCAATCCGTCCATCAAACTTAGAAAACGGAGAGTGATTAAGAGGCTGTCGTCGAGTAACTCGAGATTCCGGTTGTGCTGATAGCCTTGTTTCAACTAGAACTCGGTATCAATCATAGCGTTCTCGTGAATGATATCGCGTTTAATCAACAGACATTGGAAGGGAAAATCAATTTTAATCTCTTTATATATGTTCTATTTTATCGGTTAGGTAAAAAGATTTCAAGGAGAGTAAGATAAATGACGTTAGCGAAAGATTATGAGCAGATGTTGCCATGTAATGGCGAGTTGCACCGTCTTCCACTGACAGATGGATGAAAAGATTTGTTCATTTTGAGGGGGACGAAAATGTCTACATTGTGTAATAAAAAACCTTATTTCAAAGTTGTCTTATTGTTAGAAGAAAAACCTACGCCCCAAGTAGTAAAATATGTTGATATAATTAGGACCAATTAGGCAACCAACATGCAGCAAAAATTGCTTGTACAGAAAAAAATATCAATAGGAAATTACTTAACATATCGTAATATCGTATAGTTAGTTTGTACAGGTGTTTCATAATATATGCGCAGGTCTTCAGTATGTGATAGCTTGTCCAAAAAATTGAAAAAAAGTTTCTATCAACTTAGCCTCTAAAATGCACCATTTTCGAGATACAGGGTGTTCTCTCTGTTCCAACTTCTACCCCACTGGAAACAGTACGGTTTTCAGACGCCCATTTGAACCGCCAATGTTTTCTACACAAAAAAAGGTAGAGAAAAACAACTTTTATTGATATTTTAATTTAATATAATTTAATTTTAACTTCATTTTCTTTATTTATTGATTTTTTTTATTAAATTTCAACACCCTGTATCTCGAAAATGGTGGATTTTAGAGGGTAAGTTGATAGAACCTTTTTTTCAAATTTTTGGACAAGCTATCATATCCTGAAGTCCTGCGCATATATTATGAAACAGCCTGTAAATATATATTCTCATCCTCTTTTAAAGTTTTTTTCTGTGACATGACACTTCTCTGTCGTAGTAAAGAGTGTGACTGTTACAAAAGCCAACGAGCCCTTATCTTTTTCTCAAAGGCTCTCTCACTTTGTAGCCCAGAATCCTTGACGAATTCTCCACCTGTTTTGTCTAGACTTTTGTCTCGGGCACCTTCTTCGTCTTCTTTCAAACGAATTCGTCGCGAATAGATGCACCTCACGAATCGACGCTCGTTCCTTTCAAGTGCATGTGAATTGTGACGACAGTAATAACTCCTCGTTAACCCAGTTTATGTTGAGCCGGTCGTAGTAAAAATTTAGAGTAACGGCCTACGGTGGCGATTGTAAACTTTTAATGGCGTTATCTATGCATTGCTCGTCGCTACACCCTGTGGCGATAGTATTGATAAATTGGGGCAGAGTGGTGTGGGGAGGTACGGTTTATGGCAGCCGGTTTTATTATCTGCTATTTCGCGCGTTCTGTGTCCGCTGAATAAGCAAGCGGAAAGAGCCGTGACAAATGCACGTGTGCGGCACGTGCAATGGCCGACAATTACGACGAGTAATTACCCCCTATTGTGCCGACCGTGAATCTGTGCCGAAATGATGGCTAGGGGAAAATTAATTGCAATTATTATCAACCGTCTGTAACCATCATAGCAATTAAAACGACCGTATCGTAAAATTTTTAATTATAAAATTTTATTAACCCCAAGGAAATAAATGGTGGAGGTGCCAGCAGTCATAGTCAGATATTGCTCATGACGGGTACGGAAAAAAAATTCGAATGGAAATAGGAAGGACTCGAAATTCAATTTCCGAGGGCGCGTTTTGACAATCAAATTAACCATAAATATGTGAATGTGGCGGCGACAGACGAATCGCGCTGTGGTGATTGATTGCGGCATTCGTTTTTTTGCACCAAAATGTTAATTCAAAACCATCTTTGACTACCCCTTTAACACAGCATTGTAAGTTTATCAGCCCTGAACAAGTTGAGGGGTTGGGGTAACAGTGACGCCGTCGTTCAAGTTTGTTGAACCGTGACACTGGTGACCGCCACAAACCGGGTTAATTCCCAACTCCCGCGTTGATTAGCCCGCGGGTTTGCCTATGGGAAGGGGATATCCCCCGAAAGGGGTGTTTTGAATGTACGGCAAACTGCCCTTCCCATGCAACAACGCGCCTCGATGCAGATTAGTAGATTAAATGGTCGTCGCACGATGGACGCGAGCCGCCATTGTTCAGCTTCATTACCCCCTTATCTATCCCAGGGTGGGCTTCAGAAATACCTTGGGGAACTTCGAAGGTATTTAACTGAAACGAAACGTCGGAGCGGTCGTAAAACTTTTGCACTCTGGTTTTTGGGTACAATCGGCGACGAAATGAACGCATTCATATCGATCCCCGATGGCACCGTTCAATCAAATTGGCCCCTCTCTGTAAATCACTAAATGCGGCCCTCTAAATTTGTCCCCTTTAATTCCCCGTGCCTCGAGGACCTTCGGAACGCAATTAACACCGGCTGGGGTATTATACAGGACATTGAATGGATTGATGGAAATAAGGGGACCTGGATGTGCGATATGAAAGGGTCTGCTTTAAATTAAAACGCTTTATTATCATCAAAACAGCATCATATCGAATATACCATAATTTAGTTAATAAATAGTGGCAATAAATAAATAGTGATGAATAAGCTTTCGAAGATAAATGATCATCTTAAAAAGAACTTTTAAAACCGTCACGGTTTCGGTTTTATGGCAGCACTTAACTCGATCCCGTAGACTCTCATCATTCTAGATAGTAAAAGGGATACATATATCGATTCGGCTTGGAGCAAGTACAATACGGAAATTTAATCAATCGTCGTCAGAACATGGTAGCGCAACGAACGTTTTACCGACTCGAAGCTGTCCATTACCGTCCATTATGGAGACGAGGAGGAGTCGAAGTCCGGAAAGCGAATTAAAGTTATAAATCGCCGGGGACGATACATACACGGACATCCAAGCCGCCACCCGCAAGATCGATACGATATCGTTCCCTTAATTTAACTTCTCCTAACGAGTCCATTCATCCATTTCGTGTACCGTATTGCCGTGGATCGATACTGCGTTATCGCTGACCGTAGGTACACGTTGTAGGTCTCAGTTCTAATCGCGTTAATCAATTGATACAGGGCTAGAAGTTCGGACCATCATCGTAGCTTCTGCAAAGCCCTAATGGACGGTAGTATTAATCAAGGTGCATTTCTTAATTGAGGTGTTGAAACGAATCCATTGAATACATTTTCGGAACTGACAACAAAATGAGATTGAAACAAGTTATCCTAACCCTAAAACCACCCCATCATTTCTCCTCATTTTAAGATTGATGCCAAACCTTGGTAATTAAACTCACTACATTCACTACCTGTTAAAGAACTATAAAGAAGCAAACTAAACAGCCAAAATACTTGATCAGAAAGTTATTGGGTTAATATAAATTTATATTTGAAGTTTATTTAACTTGAAGTATTTTTGAATTATTTTGGAAATTCTTGTATAAACTTGTTGATGTGATAAATACTAAATAAATTTTTGTGGTGGTTTTAGATTTAGTTTATAACCTCAGAAAACGTTTGAATTCTTGAGGTAGGTTTTTCTCCTAGTAATGAAATATGCGAACGTCCTGAGTGTATTTATGACCAACAGAGAAGCGCATAAATCGTCGCAAAAGGTCGTAAATAATATTTAGATAGTAGTATGACGTTGGACGAGGAAAATAAAACATAAAGAGTTATGGAAAATATGGGAAGTATCGCGCGGAATGTCATTGAAAAATAACACTGACAGCGATTTCTTGTTGCGTCAACTACTAAAATTGTTCTACCACACAATTTTACCACCGTCAGATGAGATTAAATAACAAAATGAAAAAGAAATTCGGTCGATTGAGGGTCCGATGTGGTGGAACTAAGCGTGTTCACGTCTCCCACGTTGTGAAACTCAATATCAGATTATCACGCTCTGTTGGCGATTAATTTGCGAATCGGAGGGTTCAGCTTAAAGGTTGGGTTCGGGTCACACACGAAATTAGCCTCAAACGATGCTCATATTAATATTGCGTAAAAAATGTCTGTGTTAAGGAAGATTTTTCTAAAAATAAATGGGTTCAATCCAATTTTTCATATCAACCTATATTCGTCAATCATAACCACGTCACACGTTTCGAATCAAATCTATGGTGACATTTACTTCGTGGGGTTTCGATCGCGACCGGCATTTCAACGAAAGAGGCCTCCGTTAAGTGAATATAAATGTTTGCACGTGCGTTGCCCCACCTGGAAAAATCTAATAATACCCTTCTGTGCTTCCATCAAAATATAACCAAGTTAGTTCCGATAAAAAAAATTAACATTTTTTTTGAGGGTTTTTTGCAAATGTAATCGTATTTCTTGCGGAACAAAAAACACACAGCTTTTGAAAAATTTTAAAACGTTTTTTGTGAACCCCTAAAACATCAAATGCAACCGAACTTAAAAAAAACTTGGATAAAAGAATCAAACCCCGTTAAAATGAAAATCAACAAAGACGTTGAGCGATTGAAGTGGAGTAAGTAATTTTTTTGTGGTAATCTAAAAGTAATTTTTTATATGCATATCTAATGTGAGGTTTCGCGCGAGGGTTATAAAGGAAATTTAGTTGACAAAGACGGAAGAGGATATTTTTTGCTGCCATCAATTTGGAAATTAAACGAAAGGGATACACAATGGGGGCGGTGGAAGATTATAAAGTGAATAATTAAACGAAGCCGCAACGGTTTGCCGGTTGCAATTTCATTTGGGGTCAGAATAGGAAACGTGAAATAAACGTCGCGCAAACGGCGTTTAATTATTTCCGGAAAGTTTCACTTGCGTATTTATTTTAAAGCAACTTATTGCATCCTGAAATACTTGAAGACAAATAGATGAAATTAAGTTATCCGGTTAAATTAAATGTAGACCGAAATTTGAAAGGGGAGCGTTTAAAATTGATGCAAGACAATAACTTAACAAGATCAAAGGGAAACCAATAAAGAAGAAAGTTTGAAGGGTAGTGGTTTTGCCATCAAGTATACCGTAAAATACCTGTGGATTGATTTACTCTTCACATAAAAGCTTTATGTTACCCTAAAGTTTATTAAGAGCCACAGCATAACTCATTTTCCACTTTTATTAACTTTGAAAAACAATTTTCAAGCCAAAACTCAAAGTTTGCAATAGAGATATACAAACTTACAAAGCTCGGACTTTAATGAATATCCCGGACGGGTTATTAATGCGTAGAAAAGGCCTGGATCTCGTTGGAAAAATCATCGAGCGTAGGAAGAGGCGCGCGCACGACGCCGGACGTCGCTGGGAAGGTTCAACACCATCCTCCAATTCGTACACCAGTCAGTAGTTCCACACTGAGAGTAGGCTACACGACGCGCGTACCAACACCATTTAAAAACGTGACGGAAATGTGTTCGTCTTGAAATTATGTACTGTCGTGATGATGATGTTATATCAAACATTGGTCTTAGTAGCGGCGTTTTCTTTCGCGAAATCCCAGTGCCCTCTTAAGTGTTCCTGTTTCCACGTTCCAATTTATCCAGAAAACGGAGAACTATTAATTTTCTCCACGGTGAAGTGTTCTACACTTAACATTAACGAATCCCTTTTAGTCCCCAACGACACGAGGGAAATTATTTTTGAAGGTACGAACGTTGATCTTGAACTGTTTACTGAAAATAAAGAATTTTGGAACGCTTTACCGAATTTAACACGAGTGGAATTTAATAAATGTAAAATAAAAAGTGTTGAAAACGTGAGTTTTAACCTCGAAAGACTGAAATCGTTACAAATCTCAAATAGCAACCTAACCGAATCGTTATGTTTCAATTTAACGGAATTATTAACGTTGGATTTATCTCAAAACAAACTTACATCGGTGAAAAATTCTTTTACGTTTTTAGTTAACCTACAAGTGCTCAATCTCAGTGCCAATCATTTAGTATTAACCGAAAAATCTTTTTATGGTTTAAATAATTTAAAATCTCTCGATCTCTCCGATAACCAAATAAAACAACTTAGTGACAAAATCTTTCTACCTCTCACCAATCTCCAATACCTCAACATAAGCAAGAATCGATTAAAAATTCTTAACGAAGAATGGTTCGGAAATTTAATTCATCTTCAACAACTCGATGTGTCTCAAAACCAATTAGAAAAAGTCATTCCGGGAAATTTAGAATTTCCAAATTTAATGAGATTATTTTTAGCGGAAAATCCTAATTTAGGTATATCAAAACCCCCCACTTTATTAATTGGAATGGGTTCTCGCCTACAAACGGTTGATGCATCCAACACGGGATTAGAAAACGTTCCTTCTGCATTAACCCATTCGATTCGAGCACTAAAATTATCTAAAAACTCAATAGTCACCATCAGCTGTGGTGAACTCGATTATTACCCGTTGCTTCAAGTTCTCGACTTTACTTCTAATAAATTAAAAACGATCGAAGACGACGCTTTGGGGCGATTAGAATCGTTAACGATCGTATATTTGAGCGAAAATTGGATGGTTAACGTTCCTGGAAGTTTACCAGAGAGATTAGAAATTCTCCACTTGGATAAGAATTATATCGGAACGATACGATTTGGCGATTTCTTAGGATTAAAACAATTGGAATTGTTAAATCTTAGCGACAATAATATAACTAAAATTGAAGAAAACAGTTTCAACCACCTGTTATCGCTTTCATCTTTAGATCTTTCCCGGAATCCTTTGTACATCCCACCCGGACTTTTAACCATTCCGGGAAAATTACAGTCTTTAAGACTAAGCGGAATTCCTTCTTTATTACCAGCTAAAGAAGTCACATTTCCACTAACAACCCCCGAGTACTTGATTATCTTAGATTTATCGTATAGTCCCGGATTAGCTCATCAGCTTTTGGCAGATACAGCTGCATTGGCAGCATCTAGACAACTTCAAGAGCTGGATTTATCGGTCGCGGGATTAGAATACATCAGATCCGACCTGCTGCATTACCTTCCCCAGCTGCGAACATTGCACTTGAAAGGGAATCCATTAAACTGTACTGATTTGCAATGGCTCGCTATGTGGATGAGAAGACAAGGGGAATATGAGAATAGGGAGGTGACTTGTGTTTATCCTGGGGATATATGGGGTGTTCCCCTCATTGATCTGCAAGGATTAGACACAAAAGTAACTACAACAACCTACACCGAAACAACAATAACAACCACTTCCGAATATCAACACTCAATAAATGTTACAGAAGCAACAACAATTTACGACAATAACACGATGAATATAGAATTTTACGAAGTCATCGGAAATAATGGAACAATGATGGCAACCTCACATCATTACTACAGCGAAAAAATATCTTCTTTACATCATCCCGGCATGTTAATCCTGATTTTAGGGGTTTTATTAACAACGGCAATTCTAACTGTATTAACAACGCAGCTTAGTAAGAAAAGAAGGAGACAAACGGCGACAATGATGGATATGGAAGTAGGTAATTTGCCCGGGGTTACCGAGCTATGGTGACACTTAAGGAACTTGCAAGATGAAGAAGAAACGATGGTTCTCTACGACACCATCGCATAAAAATCCACGGAAAAATCTAAAAAAAAAAATTCTAGTTGTATCAAAATGGAAAATAAAAGAAATTAATAAAAACATGTGCTTGTGATATATGTGAATGAGAAATTTTTGTACACATGATTTTTTTCTACTGAAATAAAAATAAAAAACGAGTAACACTCGATAAATTGTATAGAAATATTTTTTACTATCAAAATGTAAGAAAAAAAATTAAAAAAAAAAAAAATGCGTGCGTGTAAAGTAACGTAGTTTACGATGATAGATTTTGAATCTATCAAAAGGTTTTGATGTAAGTTTTTTGCTATGAATTTGTACATAAATTGTCAAATATTTGTATTTACTTGGCGAAATTGTTCTATGTATTGTGATAGAAGTAAGAATTTAAACAAAAATATAGAAATATACTTAAAATAACACCTTTTCTTTCTTCTTATTTAATTAATAATTAAACCACTTTGTTAAAACGCTACACACCGCCCATAATTGAATACAAAATAAGCAATTAATGCACCCCGTTGTAGAACAACTCCACTCGGTGCAGTTAAATATCAAAACAACCCTTGAACTCCTGTAATTTGAAAGCGCGAGGGACCTAGGGAAATTAGCCGGGTCATTTTTGCAAATATCGTGAAGGGCGGAGATTGAATTTTGGGATCCCCATGAGAATGAAAATAGGGGGAGAGTCAGCCAAACGTAATTGTTTTTTGACATTTATAACCCCGACTTTAACCATCATTTATTCATCATAAATAAATACATAAACTGTTTTCGTTTTTAATCATAAACCCAAAAAGATAAATTTCCAATTTATATTTTACATTTTAAATGAGGAAATTGATAAAAACGATCATTTTTAATCGAAACCGCCATTAATACGAATTCCCGAGTAAATCGAAAGGAAAAACTCGATCCCTCCGAGTTTAATTTTCAATTACCACGATCGCTTTAGAAACGTAAAGTGCAAAAAGCAAGAATGTAATTTACCTTAATTAATTAACGCAGTTCGTGGTAATATAATAAACGAGTTAGTTTTAACTATGACTTTAATTAATTAAACAAAATAAAAGGGGAAGCTGTAGTGCGTAAAATAGGTACGTGTGTTATGTATAATTGAACAACTCAACCGAACACATTGGTGCTATTTGCATCATCAATTTAATTAAAGCCTAATTTGTTAAATTAGCATGAAATCGATATTTCTTTTTATATTTTCTCATATTAACTAAAATGATATTGAAAATTTTAATTTCTTCAAAATTAATTAGTAAAAAAAATGTTTTTGTAGTGTTATAAAGCAATAAAATACAAGGAGGGTTGATATCGTCTCGTAACATCTCTGAACATCGTCACCAAATACGGTTCTCAATAATATTGTGTATTTGTCAAATGTGTTTCTGACAATAATTTACAACACCATCATTGACTTCCATCTACATCCGTCATACGTCCGATCTCTACATGGACACACAAAATTAAATAATTAGTTTGTCTGTCACATACGCGAATAGCAGCTAAGTTAACATGATTACAGCATGAAGCAGTATAATACCATTGGTGGAGAACTTGCGATCTTAATGTCATACACGGGCTTTTTAAATTTCTCATGCGGCGTACTTAAAATTTACTTTAAAAGCTTCTAAAAAGCTGCTATCATAATTTTATTGTCCTTTCTTTTGATATGTTATACGTCCGATGTCTACGTGGGCGCACAAAATTAAATAATTAATTTTCCCATCAGCTATACGAATAGCAGCAAAGTTAACATGATTACAGCATGAAACAGTATAATACCATTGGTTGGGAACTTGCGATCTTAATGTCATATACGGGCTTTTTAAATTTCTCATGCGGCGTAGTTAAAATTTACTTTAAAAGCTTCTAAAAAGCTGCAAATACCAGACTGGAGGAACCTTCAAAATCGTTCTAGACATCTCTTAATATCATTTTTGTAACGTTCCAACATCTTCCAATATTACCCATTATCTCAATATTGCCTCTTACTATGTTTACATCGTCCACTTGATTCGGACTTCCTTCAATATCAATCAATATCAATTGATTTTAAATTTATAATGGTATGAGAATTCCTTAAGCAGAAAAAGTTGATATATTTCAAATGGATGCTGAATGATTTTAAACGAACCGGAATTTAATAATGAAATTTTATCGCAAAAAGTTGCAAATTTTTAACCTGTCAAAAATGTAAAAAAGCGCTTGGATGAATTACAACAGTTATACTAATGAATGTTTCGGCTACACGTTGAAATGTTGTAAATTTAATAAATGCCGCAAAAGGCATAAAACGTGTTCACCACCGTCGACGCCAACGTCACGATCCCGCGCATCCCCTTTTAGTGCTACCTGCAACGACAGTTTAAAATTTAATTTCGGCAGTCGTGTCGTAAATCCAAGAGCTAACACATGGCTAGACACAATCTTTATTGTCACACGCCTCCTGTTCCTCTTATTGTGTTTTCCCAGTTTTATATCTTTACTTAATACAAAGATAACCAAATTTTCATTTCGAAAAAAAAAAATTAAATAAAAAAATGGGGCATTTATATCGTCACGTATTTAATTAAAGGCGTGCCTTGTCACAGGGAACTAATGAACGCGACAGGAATGTGAGACTGAGAAGGTAGACCGCCAATCGATTTCCTCCCCAGTGTGCAAATACAGAAACGACATCAATAGATGTGAAGCCCCGGGTGGTAATTACGAACGATTTTCAACCAACGAGTCGATTCTTACATAAAAATTAGGGGCGAATTTTAAAATAAAAGAAAAAAAAATAATACATTTCCCTTATTTTATATTTTTTATTCGAAAACGACGCAAAGTAATAAATCTAAAGTTGCCACGCATTGAAAGCAATCCGGATAACGCCGTCCTTCTTGCAGACATAATAAATAACCTCTGTAAGAGACCCACAACACACGTACCTACTACAATCCCAAGGAGAAGTTGCAGGACTGCGTCCCGGCTCCTCCGCCAATCGTGTTGGATACAATCAATCAGCGTGAAATAAAATTTTCTAGCCGGGGGTTCATGATTTATTCAGCACTTCATCGCAAAGACCAGATTAGGGGGTGCGACGAGGAAAGTTTGGAAAAAAACGTTTTAAAAGATCGTACTCGAAAACTTAATTAGATCCGTTATGGGTGAATTATCGTTCGGGGAATTGAAATTTTTTTGCTTTGCCTTTAAATGAGTCGCTACATTGACTCGGATATTCATTATTTTCTCGTAAATCAGACCCTTCGTTACTGTCGCCCGGGCTACGATCTCACTACATCACTGTCCCACGGTTGATTGTCGTTTTTCCGATTGACTACCGGCCGTTCTTATCAGTTTCGAGACTATTAATCAACCTCAGATGGAAAACCATAAACCCCATAATAATAAAACGAATAAAATGACGGATCAAAATTAAAATGTAAATAGAATTTTATTTTTTTATACTTACCACCGAGATCTGCGAAGAAGACATCCTTAAGGGCCAAAAACTCCTCCTCCGGTGCCATATTATTACTCCCGAAGCTATCGTTTTCAGGCCACACCTCTCTGAAAATGCGAAAAGGAAAAGAAATAAAGGAGATGTCAGACAACTACGAATTTTATAGGTATAGTTAAATCTACACAGAATTAGGTATTCAAGACTCGTTTTGTCCTTTGGGTGTAGTAAAGAAAAAAAAATGTATCAACTAAATTTTTGTATATTTAGTTGCATAACTATTGAACAATATTGAATTAATACCCATTGAAATCAGTACCAGGGAATACGATAATTAACGGTCCCTATTTTGTTCGAAGTTGGACAATTCAGGCGAACTAACCCCTTTACGAAAAGTTTCTCATTATTGCCTTAATAACGCGCTTAATATTTCCCGCTTAATCCTCTCCTCTATTAAGCATAAAGGAAACACTCGTTTACTCAACCCAACTTTCCTTTCAACCCGTAAATATGAAATTATTGCTTAAGCCTCAAAATTAATTATTGATTTCCTATCGAAATTGAAACTGTAACAATCATAAGTAGTAAATAGAATGCAAAGGTATACAACGTCGTAGAGGTAACAAGGTTCATTACGACCGATTCGGTGGTAAACAAACCACCGCACTTGGACAAACTTACACGGGAATTACCCACCTTCGTGGAGGACCTGGGGTTAATGGGAACAACAAAGCCGGGACCGAACCGCGCTGTGGCTGAATTATGCCCGTTGGAGTTAAGGTGAAACCCCAGAGCACGCGTAAATCTTCCAACACCCAGCGGCTTCTCGGTTCAAGCTAAGAGGCCTCTAATCTTTTCCAGAAGTTCAGTTCGCACGTAACATTCATTCCAACTCTAATTCATTTCGCACTAATTCGTTTCACCTTGTCTTGTTTTTGGATACGTACATTTCAAAACTAATTCACAACAACACGCTAATTTCTTTTAAACTTATTTACACTCATTATCGTACAAATAACACGAAAAAAGTCACAATAAGTAACAACTTTCTTATTCAATCCTCGTTTAGATTTAAAACGTGTAAAAACAATGGTGTTTTTGTTAATTGTGATATTAATAATTACAATTTTGTATTTTAAAATTAGTAATAGTCATAGATATTGGTTACAACGTGGTGTAAATCAAAATGATCCTACTTTTCTTTTTGGCGATACAACAAAAGCGTTTTTTAGATATGAATCGACTTATTCAACACTTCAACGTCTTTATAATTCATTTCCGGATGAAAGGTAATTTAAAAAATAAAACAAAATAAATAATCTTTCAACTACTTCACTTTTAACACATTATAACTTTATTTCAATGAGTTTTAACTCCAATTAAGTCTAACTCAATTTTAACCGTTCCATTTCATTCATAAATTTCTAGCTTTACTTTTCCATTGATTCCGTTTATTTCAGAAATTTTAATTTTTATTTTTTTGTACAATAGATATATTGGAATCTATGAAATGACAAAACCTATCCTTCTTATCAGAGATCCTGAACTTATCCACCAAATATACTTTGAAGCTTTCGATTACTTTGCGGATCGAAGAGACGCGATGCCGGAAGCTGACGATACGGTTTGGACGAAAAATCTTGCCGCTTTAACCGGAGAGGAATGGTCGAAAACGAAAAGATTTTTGTCTTCGTGTTTTAATACGAAAAATCTGGAAGAAACGTTTACGTTAATCGCTGAATGCGCGGAACTTTACGTGGATCATTTAAAGAAACGTAGACCGATGAAGTTGGAATTAAAAGATACTTTTATAAGATTTTCGAATGATGTAATCGCTTCGATCGCGTTTGGAGTTTCGCAGATGGATTCAATTAATTTTAGAGATAACGAATTTTATCAAATGAGTAAATCTTTATCGACGTTTACCTTTAAACAGAATCTCGTTGGGTTAGCGTATTGTATCTGCCCGAGTTTGTGTAAAAAGTTGGGTTTGAGCGTATTGAATACCGAAACAATCAACTACTTCAAGGACGTTTTGGATGAAAACTTAGCCGAGAGACGAGCGTTGAACGAAGGGGGTCGTCGACGAAGGCAGGATATCCTGTCATTTCTAGAGGAAGAACAAAGGCAATCGCGGGACGAAAGCGTGGATATCGCAGCTCAAGCTTTTACCTTCTTTTATTTCGGTTTTGATACGGTTTCTACTTCGTTGGTTTTCTTGGTTTACGAATTATCGATTAACACAAAAATCCAAGCGAAATTACACAAGGAAATTGATGAAACTTTAAAAATGAATCTCGGAAAAATTAGTTACAACGATTTAATGAAAATGATTTATCTCGATCAAGTCGTTTCAGGTAATTTAAGTATATATTAAAATATAACTTTTCTTTTTTTATTTGATTATAGAAGGTTTAAGAAAATGGCCACCTTGTGTTGGAGGTGATAGAGTTTGTACAAAACCTTACATTATCCAACCAAGTAAACGTACGGAATGTAGAATCGAGTTAAACCCAGGCGACTTGGTTGGAATATCAATTGCGGGGATTCAAAATGATCCAAAGTATTTTCCACGACCGAACGCTTTCATTCCAGAAAGATTTAGCGAAGAAAACAAGATAAAAATACAACCAAACACTTATCTCCCATTTGGAGTAGGCCGGAGAAGTTGCGTAGGCGCAAAAATTGCTCTATTACAAATAAAAATTTTTATTTTTCATTTATTAGCAAAATTCCATTTAACACCTTGCTCAAAAGAACGCATCAACGTTAGCGCAAATTGTTACGATTTAAAAGCTGATGGAAGAGTGTGGATTATGTTAAGAACAAGAAAAAAAAATTAAAAACTAAAAGAATTTTTATTTTCTTACCTTGCAGCTCTCAATAACCCGACGGCTTCCTCAAATTCCCCATCCTTCAATTTCCTCTGTATATTCTTGATTGTTTCCGATCTGCAATCACACAAAAGATAATGAACCTCCGTAATGAACTCTTTGATTATGCATGTAAATGACAGGTCAAGTCAAACGGAAAGCGAGTTCCCTCTCATCACAGGGGTTAGCATCAAAAGGGCATAGATGGATGGATTACTCACTTTTGCTCGTCAATAGGCGCGTCGGAGGCGGCGTCAAAAGGAACGATGTCCTTGGGGATACCTAGACCACCCTCCAGGACCACGGAAAGCTGCGGCGAAGCTTCATCCCATAATGCGTTCAAGTCTGGTTTAACCGGAAGATTCCCCTCTGACATAGCCGATTCTATCAAATATTAATTATTAGAAGATCTCTCAATAAGCTTATTTTTTTTGTTGTTTACGTAGGAGTTCGTGCGTATTCATCGATCGTGAGGATGTTTTAATTATCTATGAATGGCCTTCGGGGCTTTACCTTCGTGGTCATACATAATAAAGGATCCATTTGCATGAGTAATATATGGGTTTGTTTGTAGATAAAACGGGAGATAAAATTTAATATAATAAAATTTAAAAAAATAAAATCAATCCCTTAACTCCAATAGGTTAGGTAATTGATAATAGTAATTTTATATTATTTGTAGAACGTTGCGAAAATGTGGAGATAATCCCACAACATTGATGAATATTAAATACAATATTTTGCAAGTACAAAACAATATTTAGAGAGTGGGCACTCATTTTTAATATATTAAACAATACTAGAGCGAATAGATTAATACACAATGCACGCGTGTTCGCAAACAGGTAAAAACTCGCAACTGATTGTTGAAATTAAACAAAGGCCATTATGAATTATGTGAATTCCCTAACGCCCTCACATGGTAGACAAGTACCTGATGTGATTACAATAAGCACACACAATATAATAAAAATATAATATAATAAATTCGCTGGTAGAGGACTTGGGTCAATATAATTCCAGACTTTCCTGCTGTATTCTGCAAGCACTCACAAGTGTCCTCTTATCAGTATCTAGTTAATGGAAGCATTAGCAGGGAATTTAGTCCCCTGTCAGCAGTACTTAACCTTCTACCAACAATATTTAGTCATCTGCAAGCAGTATGTAGTTTTCTGCCAGCAGTATCTAGTCATCTGCAAATATCAGGTGTATAAATACGAAACCAGTAATTTTTCCATATTTTTCCATGAAGAGAAGCGCTGTTCAACAAATTTGTGTCTCATCAATGCTTGAAAGGGGTGTAAGAAATAATTTCGGTCGATTTCGAAATGTCACAAATTTTTTTCGATTCAAAAATTACGCGTGATATGAACACAACTCGTAATTAACACGATTTAGACCTGCTTCCTGTTTATTGTGTCAAGCTTTGCGATGCGCACTCCTCTGTAATAGACGTACGCCCTAAACCAAGAGCCAATTACCAATTCTGCTACTAGATGAAGCTAATTAAGGCAGTCGCATCAATCGATTTAAATTCGGTTTCGATCGGCGACTTAAAAGCATAAACTTCGCTATTTTTTTTGCTTCATGAATTCCATTGTAATTTACTCGCTGTAATTAACTTACTTAAACAAACTCCCTTTAGTAAACCCATAAAAACGCTTTGATGTAGTCGAAAGTTATTTGATAGTACCAGCTATTGTTTGATTTTCCATGGAAGTCTCCATGGCTTCACTGGCACTCAGTCATTCAATATTGATGGAAGTTATATGGTTCAATACAACACATTAATACGTTCTCTACGTCATCGAACTCACATTAACATTACAAGAAATTATGGCTTCAATTAAAGCAGTCAATTAAAACTTAATCTTTTCATGACTAATAAATAAAACATATTATTTCAAACAAATTTAAACTGGATACAGTATTAAGATATCGTTATTAGTTGTAATATGACATTCATTATGAAGTATAGCTCTGGGTGTCAACCTCATATTTGCAATGACACAGATAGTCCTAGGCTTGTACACATTGTGTATAAAATAGGATTCTGAACAGAATGCGCTATGACAGAATTTGCCCATACCATGACATAATTACATCAATCGATAAACAGCACAATATTTTGAGTTAATATAATAACTTAAATATAATTAAAATTAAAAAAAACTTACTTGATTTGGATTTTTTATTCCCCTTTCTTTTATTTTTTCCTTTAGTTTGAACAACTAAATCACCGCTGGTGCAATAATTCTGAAGCATTTTAAAAAAGACGTGTTGGGTTTCCATGAGATCGTTTAAATAAGCATCAGACATTTTTAACTCATCATAGGTTAAAAGAAGGGTTAAAATAAGTTCTCGATATTCCAAAACATAAAAAATATTGCTTTTAATTACTTGTGACGATCGCCTCACGCCTTCATCTTCGGATTTATCCATAAAACAAAGAGTCATAAGTAATTCCCTGTACGCCAACAACGATAAATGTAATCTTCTCGACCACAATTTAATTTTTTTCTTATCTGTTTGAATCATATCGAAATAAGTTTCGGATTGTTGCTGAACAAAATGAAAACTTTGTACGGACATGGTCTCGCTGACCAATTTCATTTGAAACTTTTTATAATGTCTATTGAACTCCATAAAGAATCGCATCGCCCAAAGATAAAAACTTTCGTCGTGTTTTTGAGCTTTTTGACGTAGCAAAGCCCTTTTTGCTTCGTGCATTAACGTGTTATAAGAAGCGTTTAAGAATTCAACGCAAAACTCTTTTAAAAACAATCTTATACTAAACGCTGATCGCCTTTCCGTTGAAACACTTTGAAGTGGTACTCGATTTCTTGGAGTTTTCGCTTTTTGTTTATCCGCATCGAAATTTAAATCATCCAATCGACTTAGAGGTTTATGATAAATTAATGAGTTATCGCTTATGCTTTTCATTGATTCGACGACGTAAGTTCCACCAAAACGAGAATGTCTAATTAAAGTTGAAGTTATCAAAAAAATTTTATATGGAAATTTATTTTATTTACCTAGTACCGGTAAGAACTCTCGATTTTTGTTGTTTTTGTACGTTTTCCCTTTGCCTGATTGCAACTAACTCGGCCTGGTCACGTAATTTCTCGGTCTGACTTCGTTGGAGAGCAGCGCTGGCCAATTCCGACGCAGACTGTTCCCGGAGCATGAACGACAGAATTTCTAGGATGTGCATGTAGTATGCCTGCTCAGTAATTGAACTGCTTATGTACAGAATTATATCTAGCATAGCGGACTGGTGCAATGCCCATAACACCTGAAGTCGAGTGAGACGAGCAATTTTTTTAAATTGGTACATTTTGTGGAAATTGTAAAAATTATGTAAAAGATCTAACCTGGTCGTGAATACTCGCATCGTTATCCGGTCTTCTCTCCGCGTCTGGATTTGAAGGAACGTACAAAACGTTTCTTACGAGAATCAAAATTCGCTCGATTATTAAACTGTTTTCATCGCCGCGTTCTGAGAAATCCTAAGAGAGAGAAATAAATTAATTTAATTGCTTTCCGTCGGCGAAATACGCTTTGGGAATGCATTGACCAAGAACCATTACCCCTGATTAGATGCAACCCCGTAATACGTTAACCACAAAGGGATTGGGTTCTAAGTCGTCTATAACAATACTAATTCGGATTGGCGAAGGTACCATTGAAACCAACTAATTAATGAATTTCTAAACTCAATAGTAAGTGTAAAAATTAGTAGTACTAAATTTTGACCCAATTCCTAGCGAATAATTTTATTTTCTTTCGTTGGAAAAGAAGGAAAGAGCAGAGAGGGACTGTTAATTTAAACGGGCCGCGTTGAAATACGACGGAAGTTCCGAGCAATTAGTTACTGAAACGGTAGCACGGCTACGCTGCGATAGGTGCAGAGGGCCCTAGTTTCCGGGGCCGTCCGATACCATAACCGGGACACGCTCCGGGGCGAATTGTAAGGAGTCGCGAGAAATTATTGTCTTCTCGCCGCAGAAGCAGAATTTACGGAGGATTTCTGGTGTCCCGTAGATTGATGGAACAGTTAGCAGAAGTGTATGAGGGGAAAGGAAAACGTTACTTGTAAATTAATGGCGTAATATTGCAGAGTAATTTCTAAGATAACTTCATCTTTCATAAAAAAATTAGTAGTTTATACAAACAAAGTTGTATTACTCTAACAAAATTAATAACACATTGGGCCAATTTAAAGTACCCCCATGTTTCCAATGTAAACAAAAGGGGGAACTGGGTTGAGCAAAGATATTCAAAACCAAACTATCGGATATCGCATCTAAGTTGTAACTGTTTATAAACAGTTTTCAAAGTTTATCAAAGTAAATAAAAGACTGGTAATCTAAAATTACACAAATATAACTTTACAAACAACAAAATGAACGCGCTAATCTTTTTTTAATTCACTCACCACTTCAAGTATTTTACTCATCCTTTTACTTAAAACGGCCCATACTTCAATATCGGCGAATGATTGTTTATAATTATGCAAATGATCCTCAATTTGAAGGTAATGATTTCTTTGTGTAAGTTCAATGGGAACCTCTTCTTGCCATAACATTAAAGCCGGTGTTGTTAAATTAACTAATAATCTTAAAGTAAAAAGAAAATACAAATAAATTAAAAAGGTGCAATTTGGGTTGCCTACTTTAACAACAAAAAAAATCTAACCTAAGAATAACATCAAATAATTCGATTTCTTCCGCATGAAACTTTATTAACGGTAATAAATCGGTTTGAAGTACTTTCGTTTCACCTAATTGTCTTCTTATATCGAAGGAATCATCATCTCTTCGTAAATAACGTATTAAATCTTTGGTTGTTTCCAATGTATTTCCATCAGCATAATATTTATTGGTTTTTTGATCGAAATAACCCAAAGCACTACAAGTTGCTGCTAATTCCGCAGAAATTAACGAAGACATCGTTAATCTTTCTTTAATTTACAATTACTCAGAATTAACACCGTTTTGAGGTTACGATACACTACACAACATAACCAAATAAAAAGGCGGGAAAAGTTCGTGTTTCTTCGTAAACTACCGAAATATGTTGAAGGATAAAATAGGCAGGACTGTAATGGGTTGTTTTGTAAGAAAATTTCTTTTTTATACTTTTGATTATTTTTTTCTAAGGTGTTGAAATTGGGGGTAAGAAGGAGATGATGGTGACATTTTGGTGCGACCCCAAATTGAAAATCCCCTAAAATGGAAATTAAGGCTTCCGCAAATTCCTTCTGAGTGGCCTTCTAGGCGAGAAAATTAGGAATATCGACAGGTGAAGTAAGCAATCTTGCAAATGAATAATATCCGTCGAAGGAAATGAACTTCGAGGTTGGCAAATTTACAAAAGGAAATTGATTCGATTTTAAAAGTTTTGTATTATATCAACCAGATATGAGTACTAGAAATATGTTGCTGTGGAAAATAAAATGTGTCTTGGAATGTACTTAACATTTTTGGTTTTATTGGAATAGTTTTATGATGCCAGATTTAACATTTATGATATATTTCAGTAGCTAATAAAGCTAGTTTAATGATAATTAGTTTACTAAGGAGCACAATTTAATTTAGTTTGTTAATAATCACTATATACCGGGTGCTTTAAGTCTCCATCCGTTACCTCGAAACTTTAGTCGAAAAGTTGTTTTTAAATTCTTAGTGGAAATTCGTTTCAAAGTTTCCAGTATCCTTCTAAAACGAAACGAGCGCTACCAAAAGTTTCACTCTAGTTTTAGGCTAATGCTTCCTAAGTACTTATCGCTTTTAATTTATAGAGTACCAATACGAACCGTACAAAACTTATATAACGTATTGAAACGAACTCTGTGTCTTTAAAATTTGATTTGAACCCCCATGGGAACACCATAAAACTGTTTATCTTTTTCGATTTCGCGCCCAATAAACCTGTGCAAATTGCGAAAAGGGTCGAGAGAGGAGGGTAAATGTCCGCGACACACGCGTTCTGAAAATGTACTTTTGCAGACGTGACAATATCGAAAGCTTCGAATGAAGTCGATTTGAATCGACTTCAAGTTTTAGCTTTGTAGACAACACAACTTAAGTCGTAAAAATAAGAAATCTCTAATGGAATGGAGGATTTTTGGGATAGATTTATGACGGTGTCCAAACGGATGTTCGTCACATAACCGCAATCATTATTCAAAATGTCACAATGTAGGGAAAAGGAAATCTAATCGAAGGGTTGACCTACATCTTAAACTAAGATATTAGGAAATTTTGGCTGGGCAAAAAAAGGGTAAGGAGTAAATATCGTTATATTTCACGAGGGGATCAAGATTTTTTTTTATGGGGTTTCAAATCTCGGCTATATCTCGCACACGTGATATTTATATTTCGGGCGTTACGATTATCCACTTTGCACTTTTCCGATCGTAAATTTCACGAGGTGTAATTTTCATAATTCGCTGACTTTTATGGACACATCGCATAAAAAAAATGTTCTTTTTTATAACGGTTGGAGACTATAAATTCGAATTCGAACAGATTTTATTAAATTATAACACGTTCAATAATTAGCAATGTAATTTCAGGCAAACACGACTGAAATTTATGCATGCTGAGTGCGAACATTGCAATATACCTTTGGCCATTTACTCCAAACCCCAGATAACGACCCACGTTTTACTGTTCTCCATCCACACCCTGTTTCACGATAAAACTCGCCGTTTGTTTGTTTTCTTTTTTTTTTAGAAAGGTTGTAAGCTAATTAATTATTTTTTTTTATTCCAATTTCCGCAGGTAATTAAATATTTGATAATTTGAGATGCTGACGGAGGTGAAGCACAAAGTAAATCGGCACGTCTCACACTTCTCGCATAGCAGGAAAACGTACGAGAGGAGACGATGTCGCAGCGTCAGCTGCTGAAGGCTTCTTCGCTATTGCGCCGCCGGTTCAGAGCGTAATTACGGGCTTGGCTCTAATTACTAATGTAAACGAGGGCCCCTACGTCGATTCGGAATTTGATTTATGTCGCCACCCCCGCGCGAAAATGAAAAGGATCCCCGACGGTACGATTAGATCTGCAGGAAGGAAGTAGGAATCGGAAATCCTCGGAATTCTCTAAAAGCAAAGAGACCGGAGGCGAAAGTTTGCCGAAAACGTATGACTCCGTCGTGTTTAACTTAACAGTTTCGAAATCCGTGGGATTTTAGGATCGGATTATGCCGACCTAATTTAAAGTTTGCGGGGAATTAGAGAATTCTTTATATAATGAAAATTTTATAATAATAATGATACAAATTTAACATAATTATTAATTTCGTTTGAATTCCACCACGCTAATAAATAATAACGAGGAATATTTCAATTGGTCACCCGTATATTGTGATTAGCGACTGATAAACGACGCTAATGAACGGTAATGGCACATAACAGTGATTCAAATCCGGGTGGTGCCGCGGCGCCGTTGCGACGCCCATTAAATCTAAATAATTGATGTTGACAGGGAGCGATTAATACGGGGCCCCGCTGTAGTGTGGTCTGCCCTTAGAAGCTCACGCGGCAATTTACTGCTAAACACGGGGTGGACACGAGAATCCAATTACAACGTCTACCGCCACCTCCAACGTCTGGCGAAGATTGATCCGTAAAAACTCGCCGAGACGCGAAGAAATATTTACGTCGGAAAACAATCCCCAAAGACAATTATTCAATTTTTACCACCAGCGAAAAAGTTAATTAAGTTCTGCTGACTCGACATCAAACAAATTTTATTATTTAACTGAAAAATACCGAAAACCAACCCAAATCCTTTTGACATAAAAAGAAAAAATGATCTAAACATAAGAGTCTTTGTGTTAAAATAAATTTCAGTTCAGAGAATTTGATTCCGCGTTATCGATCTGAACAAAGTTTAAAAGTGGCTAAAACGTGTGAATTTAGTTTTGAATTTAGTTTTTCGCTATCTCTAATAATAATGAAGATGTCAGCTAAGAAAGTAGATAGGAAATTATGTTAAGCATTTACTAATTCAAAGTGTGAAATAGTGGTTGTCTACCCATGCGTGACGTCACGAACGGGCCATCGAGCTATGCACCAATTCCCGGGATATAGTAGTCTTGTTATTCTGCTGTAAATTCGATTATTTATGGTCCCATTCCTTCGGGAAAACCATCTAACGATGTTTGCTCGACAACTGTCAATCAATATCACGAGAACACGGTCTTAACGCTTAATAGCGACCTAACCTTATTACGTAGGCTATCGAAAATGACGACCTTAAAAGTTTTAAACACGTTCAAAAAGGGGGTTGTCGAAGTAATAGGGGAAGAACAATTACGTTAACGATTTCTCCTCATCGGAACAAATCGGTTGGGCACAGAGAGAAGGGCTCTCGTTCGATCTTTTCGCAGGATCTTTACAAGAGGAGTTCACGAAATGGGGATGCGAAAGCGTCTCATAATCGTACGACGAATTGAAATTCTTTTACGCGCACCAAAATTCCAATGGAATATTCGCATAAAAAAGGCGTTGCTAACCTCGAACTCTAAAGGGCTGTAATAAGATTGGAAGTGGAAATCGATGCAATTACCGAAACTCATCCGCCCCTAACGTTTTGTGTAAAAGAGTAAAAAAAATCTGCCGATATGGTTAATTCTGTCATCTTGAATTTAATTAAGTTCTCGTTTGCAATTTTGCGTCCGACAATAGATAATCGAAGCCCGGACGAGAAGCGAGTTTATACAAGTCAACCGGTACGATTCTCTCCCTCTCCCTTCGCTTATCGCCAGCCGTCAGTCGGTCCGGATGAGCAGGACAATCTCCTGCAGCTGACGGGGCCATTGATCCAGAAACACTATAGCCACCATTTCATAAATCGTACCTACTAGGTACCTGATGTTTTATCTATAGAAACAATTTTAATTTAATACAACACAACGTGAATTTACGATGTAAAATTTATACCCCATAAACGGAATGTGTCAAATAAAGCCGGAGGCAGCAAGTGACGGACGGTAACCCCTCAAGATCGAAGAGAATTTGCGTAAATAATGCAGGACGGGGTTTCCCCTTCGACTTCAGTACTCTTCATCGATGTCGAGAATGCGTCTCACGTTTACCCAATATTACCGGAAGCCGTCGCCGGAGGTGCACAAGGAATCCACCAACCCGTATAACTATATAACTTCCCCATGATGGTGGTATCGTAGCAACTCTTGTTCTCATCGATCGACAAATTTACGCAAACCTTTTATAAATAATCTACGACGATGAGCAGGCAAAACAAGCGATTAATAAAATTTACCGCTGTAATAAAATTACTTTGCCTTCAGCGCACAAAAGGGATCTAGTGCGCCGCGGCGTAAGTGCCTGTCAAATATAACCGGAAATATGGTCCAACGTAGTTTTCCCGTGTATGAAATTTAAAAACGGATTTTATGGTTATTAAATTTTCCTAACGGATTGTTAAATACTAGTTCAAGGAAAAAAATTGAATAAATAATATCCTGAGGATGATGAACACCGAAATCGGTAGAAACAGAGAAAAGTGTTATTGTCGAACATTTCTTTATCAATATTAAATGTTGTTTATGCTTCGTCGAATCCCGTGTGGCGCGCTCGTTGACGCGACAAATCAAGTTGCTTTCGATCGCCCCTCGTAATTGCATTTAGCATACTGATGGGCGCATAAATTGGAGTTTGATCAGCCTATTCGTTGTACGCGAGCTTTCGCAACTGAAACAAATCGGGTGAAAAATCGCCCGTGTATCTGGATATCTTTCTCATTGCCGATGAAAGCAAACGTCAACTAAAAAAAATTCTTTAAATTACGACAAATCTATTATGTACTAAATGAAATGTGAAGCGAATAAATCCCATGTTTACGAAACGATCGGAAAAATACGGGATGTTACACAAAGTCAGTACGGTTGATTTGAATTGCAAATGTGTAGGTGTGGAGGAGAGTCAACGAGAGGATCCAGAGTATGGTTGGTTCTTGTAAGGGCAAATGTGTGTGTATTTTGGGTTTTGCCTCAGGGCGGCTTGAAGCTGTATATGTAGGTATACGTGAAATATCACACAGTGTCTGCGGATTACCACATTTACGCCCGCAAACATCCTCGAGGTGTATAGATGGCCCGGATCGATAACTCATATGGCTCGTTCACATCGGATTTAATACGATACACCATTTTTAATTTTTTTTGGTTTGAATTTTTTTGCAGGATCTATTTGCCGCTTTTTGTGGATTTATTAATAATCCCTAATTTGTTGAAAAAAATTAATACTTACAGCATATTTCAATATGAGAACTTTTATTTATTTACTACTAAATTTTACTAAATTAGAGCTTTTGAGCTTTAAGATCATGTTTTCAAATTAAAAATCCACTGAGAAAATTTTTGACAAAACTGGAAAAATGTGACTTTTAAAGTGTTGTACAGATATTGTTTATACAAACGAAGATATTAAGATGATATAAAATGAT